GCAAGTCACCTTGCATATCTCTGCTGGGCAACGGAACAGGCATCGCCATCCCGGTAAAGTTGCGTACCCCATACGTTGTGCAAACCCGGCCGGCGCCGTCGCTGAACTCATCGATTGCCTCACAAACGGCGGCATTACTGAGTTATCCACGGTCTTGACCTGGGATCACGGCGTTCGCCGCGTCCGACGGGGCATCGCAACCACCGCCCGCAGGCTAAGGCAACGGCGGACACGGTACATCGACAGGCTGCGACGGCGATCACGACGGCCACTGCTTACCCGACAGGCCTGGCACCAAGCCCAAACCGAGGATCAACAGGAGGCTCACATCTGTCGGGTTTGCTTGGCTCTCCAACGTACAACGGAGAAACTTCGCGCGAAGTTTAAACGGGTGTCGGACTGGGAGCGTGACCAACGTGTTACAGCCATCAGGAGACTCCACGGTGACCCGTTTCTAGTCGGTTGTAGCGTCGCCGACAAGTTTAATTCTGAATGGGATCATGTGCTGGGGAAGAGCCACCGTATAGTCCGAGTCGCAGAACTGCGTACGGCTCTGCGGCATTTCGTCGCTCTCCCCTCTGACCGCATAGTCACCACCGCCGAAAACCGTGCCCTGACGGCAGATATAACGGAGGCAGAGGTGGTACTCGCAATCAGAGCTCTCAGTAGGCATAAAGCCCCCGGCACCGACGGCTTAGGGAACGATTTTTACAAGGATCTTCAGTCGCTGTTGGTACCGACGTTAGTGGAGATATCTAGCGAGATCATCCAAGGTGCGCAACCACCCAAGTCGTTTATGGAGGCGCTCATCATCCCGCTACGTAAGAAAGGAGATTCCGACGACGCCATGGACTATCGACCGATTTATCTGTTGCAAACGGGGTACAAGGTAATTGCGAAGGTCTTGGCGACGCGTATGCAGAAGTGCCTGCCACATGTCATCGGTTCTTCTCAACAAGGCTTTGTTCACGGACGACAAATGCAAAAGACGGTCTCAATGATGCTTGCTCACCTCCAAAGTGCACGTGAGGAGTGTACTTTGGACGCCGACGCCAGCCGCGCCGTTGACTTACTGGATTTTCGGAAGGCCTATGATACGGTCGACCGCGATTTCATGGTAGAGGCGCTCCGAATATTCGGGTTTGACGAGAACTTTCTAGCGCTCATTCAAAGGCTTCATACCAACACGACGGCACGTTTTTCGGTCAACGGTGAGCTTTCATCAATTCGGCCGGTACGGTCTGGCATTCGGCAGGGCTGTTCCCTCGCTCCTCTTCTTTTTCTGGTGGTCGTCGAGGTGCTGGCCGTTGCAATACAAACGTCGCCCCAACTTCACGGGCTCACACTTCCAGGAGTACACACACAGCCCCATATATTTTCGGGGTTTGTCGACGACTCAACCCTGTTTCTACAAGAAGCCAGTCTACTCCGACCGGCTATGGACATCATTATGGAGTTTGGGCGGCTTTCGGGGTTGCAGGTACAACCGACAAAAAGCCAACTCATATTTTTAAACACGGCTATCCGTCAACCTACGTATCAGGGGATCGCAGTGGTGGCTCCGTCAACAACTACGAGGTATCTCGGCTATCAAGTGGGTACAGGAAAGTTACGCAACATTAACTGGGCTCTCCGCATCAAAAATGCACAGCGTCGCCTCCTCACTGCAACGCGAGTTTCGACGACCCTCGAGCACCGAGTTCTTATACTCAATGCGATAGTTCTACCCGGGATTTTGTTCACGGCAGCGGTCTTCGAGCCCCCCGGTTGGGCGCTCAAACAGCTGGATCATCTCTACAAACAGTTCCTCTGGAAGACGTCCAACAGGATTGAACCCGGGAGACACAAAGTCGCTCCAGGCCTCCTTTACGCTCCCCGTAAGGCAGGCGGAATCGGCCTCGTTTCGGTCCCCGTCGCCATCAAAACCCAGCGGGTGAAACACGCGCTACTGGCACTTACTCGGCAAGAGGATGGTTATCACTCAGCGTGGGTGTCCTGGGTTACGCATGGTGCACACATCCCGGCCATCAGCCCGCATCGACCGAGCGTGAAACACATTGTATCGCCGTCTTCCGAGCGGTATCCGGATGTACTTTATGAGCTCGGATGCACATTGACGCCGACACCCGCGAAAACGGACGATATTCTCGCACGGGTACAGGACCATCTACCGACCCTTCGATCATCATCGACCAGCTGGTCGGAAGAAAACGACTGGGTGCTGCATCTCTCTGAACCCCTTCCCAGTCGGCCTCAGTCAGTAGAGTTTTGGCCTCAGGCAATCGAAGACTTCTGGCAGACTTTCCGGTGGAGTGGAAATCCTTGGGTTCTCACCCCGCAGGCGTCGGCGTTGTCCCGGTCCAAGTATGACAGGATCGGCGATGTCTCCTTTGAACAACTCCATATCCAGCGGACAGGACCCCAGGAATATGTCTTCGACGGTATTTGCACGGACCTCCTCGCCCCCCGCCATTCACATGCCAAACTTCGAGAATGGGCGATCATCGTCTCACTCTCGTCGCCGTCACTTGATGTAGGAAATCCGGTGGGGGGCCCGGCCCCACTCCGGCTAAGGCATCCACCCCCTTTCACACAAGCCATCACATGGGTGCCGGTCGGGCCGGGTAGGGTTCGGGGCACTTCTGTCTCGGACAATTCTATTCACCCTCAGCGTTGGGAGCTCATTCAATGCCAGAATGGCATTTCTTGGGTTTTCGACGGGGAACCGCCGCGGGTCCAAGGGAAAACGCAGGAACTCACCCAACTCGCGGAGCGCAGGCTCATCCGAAATGGGGTCGTCTTTTTTTCCAACCCACAGGTCCACCGCTTTCCATGGTCCGCTCCGCTAACGGTTCCCAATCACCGCGTCTTCTCGTTCCTGAAACGGCAAGCTTTCAAGTCGGCTAAGCGGTGTCTTGCGACACCGCTGAAGCAGTTCATTGATAGACTGGGCACCAAGAGCCAGAATAACCGTTGGCTACGCGCAGCTCTCGATGTCTCGCCGGCTCATCTATGGGGTCACGGACACGCGGTGACGGAATATCAGCTATGGACACGGTACCGCCACGCTACCGGTCAGTTAAACTTTTGGTATCAGGACCGGCCTCCGGACGGGTCTTGCACGTATCGAGAATGTGTCGGACAGAAGGAGACCCAGGAGCATCTCTTTTGGGAATGTCCCCGTGCACAGGCAATCTGGGCACGGCTCATAAGTCATTGGGAGAGCACACCTCATAAGCCTAACCATCTACTGGATTGGCTCGAGCACTGCGCAAACCGTAGAGTACCACGCATTTCGCCGCAGGTCACGGCAATGCTGTTAGTCAGATACCCAGACGACATCGATCAATTCGCCACGGCCTGGAGGACGATATGGGAGGTCGCAGGGACCGTCATCATCACAATGCTCTGGCAACACCGCGTGGACAGCGTTTTTCACAATGCGAAAATCCCGATGCAAGCCAGTGAAGCCATGATTTGGGGAAGGATTCAGCTTCAATTGCGGGCGCTCATCAAACGTCTCCATTGCAGAGCTGACACGGCCGTGCGAGGCGCCCAACTTTCTGCATGTTACGACATATTTATATCAGAACCGAGAGGGCAGCCCGGCTTTCATACCAGGCTGCCAGCCGTAGGCAATGCCTGGACCCTCCAGCGTTGCTAGTGTGGTTAACAACCTACCAGAGATCTTGCACTAACCAGTAAATAGACAATCTGTTCTCTCTCTAAGTAGGTCGGCCTTACATCGTCACTCGGTAGCTCGTACGTCGATGCTGCATGGGCTTGCACGGGACCGCGAAGACGAAGCCGATCCCTGGGATCTATGATCGAACTGTCGGATCCCTGATACGCTTTGGTCCACGGACGCGTGCCAATTGCGTATTTATCCTGCGAGAGGACCGCGCATTCGAAACTCTATGGTCCTGCATATGGTGATCCACGCTCACCTCGATGTGTGCACAACAAGGATACTACCAAGTTCAAAATGCACGTGGCCTTTTGCAGCGTCGAGCTGTAGTTGAGGCCCAGTCCGTGCCATACAATTGCAATCTCTATACGCCCACTATCGCATGCTATGCGTACGCCACGTCCTTACGAGCTAGCTATTGCCGCTGCGTTTCTTGTGAGCGCATATTCTACGTACAGTGCAGCTGACGAAAGATAAGGCTGCGTCTTCGATACTGCTGGTCGTCTCGGCCGTTGCTGACAAGTGCAGCGTATTCAAGACGTATGCCTGATCTTTGCAAGTGTTGCATTCGTATGGCATGAAGAACAGCTACGACGTGACTGCATTAGCAAACGTATCGAGACGCGCAGACGTGGGTTGATAGTGATAGTCCGTGTGTCAGAACGCGACGACGTGAGTCTGTCTGGATCCAAACTCGCCCGTATCACGGCATCAGTAACTCGTCCGCGAGATCGAGTCGTCCAGGCATCGCTTCAACCACCTTCTGCCGTGTCTCCTGTGCCTGGACCCCACAACACAAACAGCAGCCAGAAGCAAAATGGATAATGCGTCACACAGGACGTGCTGGTTATGCTTCCACCGCTTGCAGCACGAAGTTCATACGCATACTACGAAGCACTCGACTTGTCGTCCAGTCTTGACAGATGAGGGCGTTTCCAGGCAACGTCGACTCACAGCGCTTGCAGGTATCATCGACCCGTGTGTGCTCTTGTGTTCAATCTCCTGGTCGTAACTCGTAACGCGACGCGCTGTAACGCTCGGGTCTTCCCAGGCCGTTCGTCATACGCGGCACGATAGATCTTCCCCAGCAGCAGGTGGTGGTGGTCTAGACTGCCGTGACGGAGGCGGCCGTGCCCGACGACTTTCAGAGTGCCAGTGCAAGACGCGCGATCAACGAAAGCGTACGCAGGACGACAGCCTCAGAGTCGTTGCGGGAATGCGTCGCCACGTATAGGCATTTCGCGGGTCAACGTCGAATATACCGCTCGAACGTACGGCACTGAGGCAATAGCGCACCGAAACACGACACCTCATGGCCCTCGACGCGGCGCTCCAGTCGGACGCCCTCGACACGTTCGCCGCGGCCCTCGACCGCGCAATCGGTCGCGACCGGTCCCCGCGCGCCGTCGTCCTCGCCGTCGACGCCTCGCAACTCGCCCTCTTTGAGCTGCTGGCGCTCGGCGCAGGCGGCAGCGCCTTTTACGACCGCTGCGGCGTCGCGCGCCTCGTGCGCCTGCAGCTCCAGGGGAGCGACGCCGCGCAGGTGCTCCAGCAGCAACTGGCAGCGGATAACGGGCCGCCTCACGCCACCGCGAAGACGCTCGTAGTCGTTGCGCCTCCGCTGCCGACCGTCGCGAAGCGCCTCGCGGACGCTCTTCGGCCGCTGTGCAGTGCGGCGGAGCGGCGCTGTGCGGTGCTGTGGCTCCCGGCCGCGACGTCGGACGTGACGCGGGAGATGGAGCGACAGGGCGCGGCCGACGTGGTCGCCCAAGCGGACCTACCGCTCGGACTGATTCCCGTGGACCGCAGCGTTGCGGCGCTGTGCCACGACAGCGTCTTTGGCGAACTGTACGTGAGAGGCGACAGTCGGTCGCTCGCGCACGTCGTGCGGAGTCTGTTGGCCGTGGAGCGGCACACGGGACGTCGGCTCGAAGACGTCACGTGTCACGGCGTCTTTGCGCAACGGGTCAAGACGATGTTGGCACTGGCCCATCGACAGGAAGAGCAGCAGCAGCAGCAGCAGAGGAGAGGAGGAGGAGGAGGGGTCGACGCTTCGGTCCACGCGGCGGGGGCGGGGAAGGGCTTTGTGCTGGAGAAGGCGGTGATCATTGACCGCATGGAGGACCCGCTGTCGATGCTGCTGACGCCCATGACGTACGAAGGACTGCTGGATGCACTGGTGGGCGTGAACCACGGCGTTATCGTGTACGAGAAGGCCAGCGACGAGGCGGACGAGAAGACGGCCGAGGAGAACAGGGCTGAAGGAGCACGGGCGTGCAGCCAGACGGAGGCGCACGAGGGCAGTCGAACGACCTCGACGCAGAAAGTGGTGCTCAACCACTTGGACGCGCTCTTTGACGAAATCCGCGACGTGAACTTCAACTTGGTGCCCAACCAGTTGGTGAACGTGGCAAAGGAGTTGGCCACGGAAGTGCGTGGCAGCAGCGTGGGCGCTAGTGCGAGTGCGGGGAAGGACAGCCAAGCGGAGTTTCAGAAAGTAAAGGACCTGTTGGCCAAAGCCCCTCACTTGATCAAGAAGAAACGCTCGCTGACGCACCATCTGCAGTTTGTCCAGCGTATTCGAGACCTGAGCACGCAACTGGCGCTGCGAGGTTGTGTCGAGACGGAGATGGCGATCATGAGTGCTGGCCCGAGTGCATCGTCGGCTACTGCCAAGGGCATTGATGGCTTTCTCGAGGAAGCGATTCTGCGCGAACCGCCTCTGAACCTGTACGATGTGGTCAAATTGCTCTGCTTGTGCTCTCTCGTTCGGGGAGGACTCAAGCCGAGTTTGCTGCATTGGTACCGCCAGCAGCTCTGTCACACTTATGGCCACCAGATTCTGCCGCTGCTCGTGCAGCTGGAAAAGATGGATTTGCTTTCCGTCGAGAATCGCTTCGACTTCCCGAAGAAGCGAAAGCAGCTTTTGCTCATGCGTGGCGTGCTGGACGATGAGGAAACGAGGTCTCCCGAGGACATTAACTTTATGTTTCCGTACACGGGCTACGCGCCAATGAGCATTCGGTTGCTGCAAGAATCACTGGGCATGAAGTACAAGACTTCTGCGAAGGACCTGACGACGCCAAGGATGAGTTTGAGTCGAGAGTACGAAAGCCTCTCGAGCAGCGTCTCGAGGCTGTCGGGCATGACTTCGAGTGTCGACAGAAGCAGCAGCAACGGCGGAAGACGCATCAATGTGCTGGTATACTACGTGGGTGGCGTCACAGTTGCAGAGCTCACAGCTTTTCGCTTCCTGAACCAGAAGCAAAGCGAGTTTTACTTCTTCGTTGCTGCGACCTCGATCTGTAACGGCAGTCGCCTTCTGCGCGCCATCTACTGAGCTTCCCATGTACCGCGTGGAGAAACGAGCTCTAACTCGGTACGCGTCGCTCGATGCAGCTCAAGTGTCAGTGCTTTATCGGGCTCGCTCTACTGAACGTCTCAAACTCACGGTAAAATGTACACATCACTGAGCTCTCTTGTCATGGCGACGAGCTGTTCCCTTGTTCATACGGCTGTCAAAGCCTTCCTCGACAATTGTCCTACTACGGCCATTGCTTGCGTGCCAACCCACACTCGACACAATAATCGGACAAGAACTATCTCGGTCCGTGCAGGAATGCAGCCGACGTCCGTGAAAAGGCCTAACTTCCAGCGCAGATCTCTGGCATGGAACGCACCAGTCAGACCAATGGCCATGTCAATCAATTATCGCACGAACGTCTCCACTCCGCCCGTGACTTCTCATCGAGCCGTTCCTTTCATTAGCTCAAGTTCTGCATCTTCCTCCGACAACTACCTATCGATCGCTATTTGTTCGTCTGACCTCACTCAGACTGCCAGCAGCTGTTGCGACATTAGCAAAATGAGCAGCTTCTGGTGGTACAAGTCCAACACACTGTGTCTTGTCAACAACTATCGGAATGTACGCACCTGTCGGCATCGCACGGCGACTTTCACTCCTACTGGAGCTTTGCACCGTTGCAAGAACCTGTCGCGGTATTCAAACAGGTCGTTTATCGACCGCGCAGCTCTTTCGAAGCAAATTGTGCATGCGCGTGAACGTGTCCCCTTTGATTGGGAAACGAAACGCAAGTCATTTGGCCGTTAAAACGCGGAAACGCGACCTTGCGCTATGCGTTCGATCTTCCGCCCCACTGGTCCCACGATTAGTGTGGTGCACACGATAGAAACAGCCCGATACTTGCGTGGTGCACACCCACCCGCCCATTCGCACGCATCGACATTGTGACTACCAGTTTCTACCGTCACGCACGCACCCTCGGCTGGCTACGGCACTCGACAATGAGCAAGGTACGGACGTCTATGCCTCTCTATGCCTCTCTGTGTATCACTCCCCTGACTTCCAGCACGCGCGCATCTCCACGACGATCTCTCTCTCTCTCTCTCTCTCTCTCTCTCTCTCTCTCTCTCTCTCTTGTGCTCTCTCTCTATGTATATACTGTGCCATGTCGCGCAGGGCAAGAAGAAGAAGCAGGTGAAGCGAGTTCCCAAGCGTCCAAACGGATGTTCCAGTTCCGTCTGGATACAAAACCCAAGTCAAGAGGCCGCAGCGGTCACTGCGACGTCCGTAGCTCCTCCTTCTCCTCGTGATAGCGCCAATGGCTTCATCGAGGGCCGTCACTTGCTGAGTTCAGACGGTTTGGCCGTGCGGCTTGAAAGCAGCAAGCAACGGGCGATCGTCAAGCGCCTCATGGCGCAGGCAGACGAGCAGGGACTTCAAGCAGGGGACAAACGTTTCGTGCTCTCGGCCAAGTGGTGGCATCGCTGGTGCGACTACGTGCAGTACGAGGAGAGAGTTGACACGAAAGCTGCCGGAGGAGACACGTTGTCGCCTGGACCCATCAGCAATCGGTCGCTGCTCCATGTGAGCGCCGAGACGCCGCTCGATGAGCTCATGGGCGGCCCGCTGCAGCCACAATTGAAGGAGAAGCATCACTACGTCCTCGTGCCTCAAGAAGTGTGGGACGCGCTGATGGTTTGGTACGGTGGGGGACCGACTATCGCACGCTTTGTTGTGCAGGTGCAGGGAGATCCAGACCGTGGGATCAATGGCTATAATCGTGTGCACGTTTATCCGGTACGTTGTGCTGAGTGATGCCGCTACGTCATGAACCTTGTGCTAGCGATCGGAGGTTGATTGAGAACTCGCGTCTGTGTTGTAGGAGCAGGCGGAAAGTGAGCAGGAAGTCACTGCGAACGGCACGAGCGACAGCTTGATGCAGCCAAAGATTGATGTGTGTATAGCTGAAGCCGATTGTGACAGTGAGGCGAACAGTTCTGCAGCAGGAACGGCGCTGCCTGTACATCACAAGCCCAGCGCGGTGTCGAATTCCATTCCAAAGCTTTGTGGAGCTTGTCGCAAAACAACGGGAGCGCTGAAGCGTTGCGGCAGTTGCCACATGGTTTGGTACTGCGACTTGGGCTGTCAGACTTCTCACTGGAAATACCATAAGATGTTGTGCCGGTCTAAGCTTTCGGCTGAGGCGAAGAAAGACGGATGTGTTCAGAAAATGTCAGTGGAGCGGCGAGGTAAGATGGGTCTCCGCAACCTTGGCAACACGTGCTTCATGAACTCGGCGCTACAATGCTTGAGCCACGTGGAAATACTGACGCGTTATTTCTTGAGCAACAAATACAAGAAGGACTTGAACCGCGATAACCCGTTGGGAACAGGAGGCAACTTGGCTGAAGAATACGATGGTCTGCTCAAGGAGTTGTGGTTCGGCACTGCACCTAGTACGTCGCCCGCCAATTTCAAGCGAGCTATCGGTCGATTCGCCCCACAGTTTTCCGGATTCCTACAGCACGACGCCCAAGAGTTGCTTGCGTACATCATCGACGGTCTGCATGAAGATCTGAATCGCGTTAAACACAAGCCGTACGTTGAAGTGGAAGAGTCGGACGGATCGCAAGACGATGCGACTGTCGCAAAGAAGGCATGGGAACGCCATTTGCTGCGCAACGACAGCATCTTTGTGGACCATATTCAGGGTCAGTTCAAGTCCACGGTCGTGTGCCCCGTTTGCAACAAGGTTTCGATTACGTTCGATCCGTTCAACTGCATCCAGCTTGAGCTACCTCAGCAGCAAAATCGCCGGATTGAAGTCATTTTTGTTCCAAACGAATCAAGCAAGTCCATGACCAGATACCTTGTTGAAGTTCCAAAGAAAGGGAGCGTCCTGCAGCTGAAGCGGGCGTTGAGTAAGTTATGCGGAGTGAGCCCCAGTGCTCTGTTGGCTGCGGATATCTATCAGTCCATGGTCTATCGAGTTATTGGCGATGCCGAGCGGTTGGTACGATTGCGAGAAGACGATCGTATTCTGATGTACCATTTGGACAACTCGCCTAGTGACGAACTCGTTTCGCACGGCTTTCTTTATCACCGAGTTGGATCCACGATGACGGGTGACCCGTTGCTTTTCACCTACCGTACCTCTACAACGTGTGCTGAGATGATGGATAAGTGGATCGACTTACTGAACACACATATCTCACGCACACCAATCGCTAAGCTTCCAAGCGACATGCTATCTCAATGCGTATACTTGACTGATCGTGATGGTGTATATTTGCGAAACGAGCCTGTTCCGTTGGCCGCGGACGCGAAGTTTTCGGATTTCGCTACGCTGCACGATGAGGATATGCTGAACGAGTCGGTGTTTGTAACAGTTGCTTGGTCACCGTCCATGCTATCCTCGCCAGCTTCTCCTCGTCCTGACATGGAGCAAGTAATAAATCATGAAAGTATGTGCGTACAGGCGACTGAGCCTCGTCTACATGAGGGCATTTCCCTGGATGATTGCTTCCAGAACTTTGTGAAGCTTGAAACGTTGGATCAGGCAAACTTGTGGTATTGTAGTAAGTGCAAAGAGCACCGACAAGCGCACAAAACGATGGAAATGTGGCGGCTCCCGGATGTGCTCGTGCTTTCACTAAAGCGGTTTGAGTATCGCAACGAGGTGTTGCGTGACAAGCTTGACGTTTTCGTGGACTTTCCTCTCGAAGGTCTTGACATGTCGCGATATTGTTTGGAAAAGAGCAGCGATAAAGATCACTTGAGCTACGATTTGTTTGCAGTAAGTAATCACTACGGAAGCATGGGCTTTGGTCACTACACTGCTTTTGCCAAGAGCTGGAAAGACGGTGAGGGCGAGCTGTATCCAGGCTGGTATTCGTTTGACGACAGTCTCGCGGCACCAGCGATGGTCAGCCAGGTCAAGTCGAACGCCGCCTACATTTTATTCTACAAGCGCAAGAATCTTCAGACCGAGTATACGGCCAAGTCAAGGCAGATCTAACGCACCGAGGGCTGTAGCGCCAAACGTATATACGCACGTGACTTTCTTCTCAGAGGTGACGAAAGCATGTTTGCTTTGGTCCCCTCTGATGTACCATGAAAGTCGATGAAGTCTCGATCATGACTGGAAAGAAAGGGAACGACAGCAGCAGCAGCAGCTACGTTCACGATAGCGCAGTAGTCATCACGTTGCGCGACAGTCTGCCGACGGTTAGAGAAAGCGGGCTGCTATAGAAGGTATATGAGGGCTGGACAAGCTACTGCCATGACGAAGCTCAAAGGTGGCTAGCGGAAACGTGCAATAATTGTGTGGTCGATGTGCTCAAGGCTGTGCAACTTTGATGGTGGTCTGCGTGGTCATGATGCAGGCGCCAAGCTCCAGAGACTGTATCACGCTGAAGCTCGACCATGCGACCAAAACTGATTCGCGACCTATCTCGTCGGTCCGTTCAAATGGCAACAAGTGGCGTTCGATGCAGCGGATCTGACGCTGTATTGTGCGTTGTCAATCAACTGAGAACGTGACATGGATGTCCGAGACCGTCCAAAACATAGCTAGCCGCTAGATGGAACGCAATGCTAAATCGATTGTGCCGTGAGTTGATGTCGAGTCAGGTCAAGTCTTGACCGGTTACCTCATTGCGACACCTGCTTACAAAGGATAGATGTAGGATAGGTGACCTGCGAATAAAGTGTTGAGCTGAGATGATGCTCGAGGCAGCGTTTCAGCACCTCCATATGCAGCTTTTCCAACAACTCTCACGATGACAAGATACTGGATAGCTCTTATACCATCTCAAAATCCTGTCTCACGGCAGAAAAGCACGGTCGAGAAGCTACATAAACAATGTTGCGTACGCCGTGTCACATTTTGCGATAGCAGAAATGTCATGAATCAACAAAGAGCTGCTACAGGGAAGCAGCGTCAAAGACCTCAACACCAGTGGTGCCGTGAACAGTCATGGACTTGTCGTCAGGCCTCATTTGTCGATAAACGAACGACACTGGGACCGAAGCTTACGTCGTTTTCGCTTGTGATAATTCTTTCTGCAATTAAACCCCAAGCAAAAAGCTTCGCAAGATGTCACATTGGCAGACAAACAACATGCTGATTCAAAGCTGATCGAACAGATTGTTAGCCTCTTCCAGTTATTTTATGTTGTCAAACACGATGACTGTTCACGAATCTTCAGGCGCTTTGCGACGCGATTTTCGGGTACCGCGCACACTAACGGCAACAGAACGATTACTGCCCGGTGGACTGAGCAGATGAGTTTCGACCGACATTAGCTTCGATAGAACCCCGCAGGCCTTCGACGTAGCTTTACGCCGAATGGTCACAGCGTCGGCAGAGAGTGCGTATCGGGTATGCCTACTTGGAAGCTAGTCTGGCTTGAGTCGATTCTACCAGTCGAAATGCCGACCTACTTCTTCGCAGATCTTCGAGGCGTAAACTATCGGGTATTTGATACATTCGGTCTAGAACGCTAGCTTTCCTTGTTGCGTTATTTGTTAATGCGGGTACTGTCGACGACCCGATCTTTGAGCGCCGGCGAACGACACCTTGCGATCATCCGACAGGTGCGTACGACTAGAAAGGTACACATGGACTTTGTTGGTGGCTTATGCAACATGTACACGGGCAAGAAAAGCAGATCCCATCCCAGTTTCCGATATGCCGTTATTGTGATGGACGCTTTCTGCATAATTCGGTTTGCTGGCGCTTTTCGCGATTCTGGTCGGAGTATCCCGACTCTCGTATACGTAATATCACGCATAAGGGTCCAAACCCACGACCTCTGCGTATTTTTTGTGAGCCGATCGACATGTGCCTGCGCTATACCGGCTCTGCAGCACGTCACTCGACTGTCGCGCAGCCGTCGACGAACAGTATCCCGACCTCCTTCCGCGTCGCTCCGCCCCCAACAGTCCATCGTCGCTCTCCACACCACGTCACATACAGTACTTTACAAGTCGACTCCTTCTGCTGTCCTCACGGACGCTCTCCTTTATGGCGTCTGCTACTACTGCCACTCGGTCCCGGTCGTCTGCTACTGCTGCCGCTGCCAGGTCGTCTGCTGCCACCAGCACCACCTGACCGATCACTGCTCGACTTGCTACGCGGTCCACCACCAGCAGCTGCAGCAGCAGTGCCAGTAGCAGCAGCAGCTCGCGTGGCCCCACCATCGGCCGGTCGCGAGCTCCCGTGGCGACGTCCGCTGTTCCCACTCGCCCCCGACGCAGTGTGTTTGTTCTTCTCGGCCCGTCGTCGCGCCTGCGCGCGCTTCTTGTGCTTCTCGTCCTCCGACATTTCGTACTTGTAAAACTCCTTCTCGGCCGACGGCAGATGCGCCGGCTGCGGCGAGGTGGGCGCCGAGACAGCGCCGCCGCCGCCCGTCTTGAGCGCAGAGATGCGGTTCCGCGCCAGCACGAGCGCACTCACGGCCTTGACGCGTCCCGCACTGGCCACGGTCGCTGCCGTCGACGCCGCCGTCGACGCCTTCTCTTTGCCCACGACGGCCGCCGACGAGGCCACTTGGAACGCCTGCGACGTCTTGACTTTGTCGCGACCGGCAGTGGCCGCAACGCTCGCGCTCTGGAACGTCGTCGAGCTCTTGACCCGGTCCCGCCCCACGGCCGCGACCTCCGACGCGACGGCGAGCGCCTGTGTGCCCTTTTCTTTGCCCATCTCGGCCGCGGCGGCCCCAGCGACGTACAGCGTGTTGCCCGCGCGATTGGCCATGACTTTGAGGCACGCGAGGTCCATCATGCGGCTGGCGGTGGCGCAGAGAGCGGGTGCGGGCGGGCGGACGGGCGGGCGAGGGGTCGAGTTTCGGAATGACGAGTGGGCGCGTGGGGCAGTGTTTGCGTACGTGTTTAATTGATTGTTTAATTGATCGTTTGTTTGATTGGGTTGTTGGTTGGGTTGGTTGGGTCGGTCGTTGTGTGGTTGTTTGTTGGATTAATATGTGGGTTGATGCTGTGTGGAGTAGGTGAAAGTGGTTGTTTGGTTGTCTTTTTGGTTGTTTGGTTGGTTGTTTGGTTGGTTGGTTGATTGTTTGTTTGTTTGTTTGTTTGTTTGTTTGTTTGTTTGTTTGGTTGCGTTATTGTGGTGGCTGCCGTTGCTGTTGCACCAGTGCCGACAGGGTACGACTTCTGCTTGTGGTGGTGGACGAACGGATACTGACTGACTTGAGTGGTCGTCGTGTGCGAGAGACAGCGAGAGAGAGAGAGAGAGAGAGAGAGAGAGAGAGAGAGAGAGAGAGAGAGAGAGAGAGAGGGGTCTTCTTCTCTCGGGGACGAGCATGTGCGAGTCGGACAGCAAGTGGATGTTCACGGATGTTTTTGATTCGTTTTTCACAAGAGTATGTAGTATGGAGGTTGGTGACGCTGATGGTAGCGAGTTGGTACGTGATCGATTCCCACAGGGTTTCTAGTATTCGAGTGGACACAAATGCAGCGATCGAACGTATGTGCGTCTGCTAGTTCTCTCCATCGCTGCTGTCACGACGCAGCTCGTGCGTTCTGGACAGCACGTGCGAAGAGAACAACAATGAAGCGAAGCAGAAGAGAAAGAGAGACAGACATTGTCGACAAAGAGAGAGAGAGACAAAGAGAGAAACAGAGACAAAGAGAGGAATCGAAGACAACGAAAGAAAAGAAAGACGGGAAAGTCCCGTTGGGCATCGGTTTTGCAAGGGACTGACTGACTGACTGGACAGGTGTCGTTCAGCATCGAAGGCGAGAGTCGCTGTGTGCCCATTGTACCAAATCAGATGACGCACGCGAAACGTCGCGAGCGACGTGATGGATTGAAGCAGACAACGAAACGTCCTAGTGTTTGTATGCATGCAGCCCTACCCGCTGCAGCCCTCTCCCCGTCAGCGCTTCGATCTCAGTATCGATTTGTTACTTCTCGTCGTCGTCGTCGTTGTTGTTGTCCTTTTGTAGCCAATGCGCCTGCACGCGACTGGGCGGCCGTTTGTCGAACCGCACGTCGTCGCGTCGCTCGTGCCGTTACTTCAGCGCAACTTGACCAAACAGCTGCTTTCGCCTCGTGACGCGTCGCGCGTGGTGCGCATACAATAATAAACGCGCACAAAAACGGTATCGAGAGCGCCACTGGTTCCCCGCACTGACTCGTCTTTTGTACCCATTTATCGGCTCGGACCAAAAACAGGGCGCGAGCGTCGCGGCCGTGTTCCGTTGGGCCGACAAGACGGAGCGCGCGCTCGAGCTGCTGTTCGTGCGACGGTGTGTGAACGCGGCGGACGCGTGGAGCGGTCAGGTGGCGTTCCCAGGCGGTCGACGGCAGAAACAGACGGGGCCGAATGTCGACCGGTCGCGTGCACGCGTTGTCGCTGCTGTTGCCGACGGGTCGAACCAGTGGACGCAGTGGGAGTCGCTCCGTGAGACGGCGCAGCGCGAGACGAAGGAGGAGGTGGGACTGGACCTGACGCTGCCGTACGTACGAGTCGATTGTGGTGGCGGAGCGTTCGCTTGTTGCAGTGCAGTGCGCCGTCGAGTCGATAGAGATGGCCGTGTGTTGCTTGCTTACATCTCTGTGTGTGTGTGTGTGCTGGGTGGTCATGCTTGTTGCTGCACAGGTGCGTGCACTGGATTGGCGCGTTGCCGCCACTTCAGACGCAGCTCTCGCGCTCGGTACACGTCAGCACACAAGGTATTGAACCGTACACGAGCGAACGTGGACTGCTGTTGCGTAGTAGTGGCGGGTGAGGTGATGGACGATGACGAGCTGTGCTAACGCTTGCGCCTGGTGATGATGATGACGGGTCACACGTTTAGTGTTCTTCATTGACGCGGCGGCAGACAAGCACGCGTATACGCCAAAGCTGCAGGAATCGGAGATTGCCGATGTGTTTTGGGTCGACGTGCAAGAGCTGTTCAACCCACGACGGTATCAGGTACTCTCGTACCCGCTAGAACAGAGTCTGTGGAAGCATCCTCGCGTGCTAGCCGTTGCCCAACGAGTGCTGGGGAACATGCTGTTCGACTGCATCTACCTGCCACGACCGAAACGCTCCGTACTGGACGACGATGACGGTCTCTCGCATCGAGACGTGCACGACTTTGTACTGTGGGGCATGACACTTCGCGCTGTCACGCAGCTTTTCGCAGTCACCGGTTCGTCGCTGCCAATGCGTCCGACGACGGCACAGCGGTTCGAGAAGTCCAAGTTCCTCGGCCCTGTTGTACTGTATTGCCTGCGCCATCGCCTCGCTGTCGCCGTAGGCACTGCAACGTTTCTGTCGTCCGTAGTCGTCGTGCACCTCGTCAACCAGGCGCTGTAACACATGGCTACACGTTGAAGCGATGCGAGGTCACTATTTTGGTCGCTGCTGTTTCCCTCTTGTTTGTGACATGTCGAACCGCCGAAACGAATGCAAGCGATCGATCCCCACTCGGCGGCGCGCGATGGAGCCCTCTGCCGCGTCTCCTACTGCACCGAGCGACGCTCCATCGCCTGCAACTGAAGACGGAAGTGGTCGCACACCTCAAGACCTACACGCTGCGCCGATTGCGAGCCCCCAGGAGCGTCACGAGCGTCCACCACGTGCGTTAGCGACGTCGCTCTTGGACGCTGTAGGGGCCAAGCGATGGATGCAATTGATCCCGATTAAGTACGATGGACCAGCGCGCAAGCGGCGCGAGTGGCTGCCGCACTGGGACGACGTGTACCTGAGTCTGGACGGCGTGACGCTGCGTGTGTTTGAATCCCGCAGACGATTTCTCGACCTCCAGCAACAGCAACTGCCGAGCCACAGTAGCACGTCAACGACGCGTCTGGATGGCGTGACACATGGCTACATTGTGACCGCAGTTGATATGGAGACGACGAATCGTCCACACGCTTTCGCGGTCCAGACAACAACACGTGAGAAGAAGGAAACGACGACGACGAAGAAGAAGAAGGACAAAGCGCTGCATTTGGCCGTGGGTAGTGAGCTGGAAAAAGTGCTGTGGGTCCATTTGCTTGGTGCAGCTGTCGAACAGGTGCAGAAGGTGCTGCCAAAGACACGAAGGCGGCTGAAAGCTGCCGGCTATGACGTTGGCTCGTTGCTGAAAAAGCCACTCGTTGCTGCACCTTTGTCAGCATATGGCAGGGCGAGAACACAGACGTTGACGCTGTTGGGGACACCCGTGAGTGTCGACTTGGCGATCTTCTATGACGCGTGGGGCTGTATTCAAGCCCGAAAGGGCAATTTCGCATTGCTCGTGCCATGTTTGCACCCAAACGTCACGGTGACGTCGAACTATCCTCCGGTAGTACCGATTGCAGGCGAGTACCACGGACTTTCAGGGATGCTAGCGTTCTTCTCGAAGCTCCATGCATCGATGGATCTATCTCACTATGGCGTCGAACATATAGCTCGGCGTGGAGATCTGGCTGTCGTCTCTGGCCGCGAGACGATTCGAAACACAGAGAGCGGGCGACGCTTTCGACATTTGTGGAAACACGAGTTGCGGTTCGAAGCTGACGGACGTATCAGTTATATCAACATTTTGGGGGACAAGACCGCAGCGGCCGTAGCATTTGCCAATGGCGGGGGTACGAAAGTAGCTTCGGTGACTGACGCGGCGGCTGCACCAACATTGGCCGCACTCTCGCGCGAGCGTGAACAGCAAGTTAGTTCTTGTCCACCAGGTGAGCTTCGTGTAGTGTGTATATCTGGCGCGCGGTTTCGCAAGCGCAAATCAGCAAGCAGGCAAAGCAGTGGGTACAAGGTGGTGCTTGGACTGAACGAGTTTCCGCATCACACAAGAAACTCTCCTGGCCCGAACTGCACTGGCAGCACCAGCAGCAGGGATGTGACAATCACAAACACGGATGGGCTGAGTCGCATTGGGTCGTGGAAGTCGTACTCGACCCGTGTCGCACAAAGCAGTGGAGGGAGAGGGCCGATCTGGGCAGAGACCGTGCATCTTGAGTTCTCTGGGGCTCTACCTGGTTCAACAGCGACTTTATGCGTCGATGTGTGGAGCATCGGTGTCATTGGCGACGAGCTGATCGGCTGTGTGAAGATAAACTTGGCAAAGTATTTAGACTTATCGAATGGGACAGAAGAGCAAATTGCATCTGCGGCTGTTCCGAACCGGTTCGACATCTACAGAGCCGAGTGTTATGAAAAGGGTGGACGAAAAGGAGAGGACGAAAGTTGTGGTTGTCTAGAGCTCAGCATCAGCTTTGTCCCTTACGCCAAGATAGATGGATTGACGAATGAACCCGACGCTGTGAGGAGCAGTGACGGAGCGAAAGAATCCGGTTCACCGATTGGTGAGGTTACATCGATTCAGAATAGACAAACGACAAGGCACCGCAAGAGTCTTGACAGGCTACAGGAGCTGCATGAGGAGGCATGTTGCAATCGACAGGTCTTAGAACGCGACTCGCTTGCCGGAAGCGATGTAAGTAGTGAACACGGGCTGGCGGAAGCTTTGGATCATGCTGGCGATCAGGTCACACGAAAATCCACAAGCGAGGAAGAGATGTACTCCTTCACGGTGGCTTCGACCAAATTCCGCGTCTACAGGCGCTACCAGCTGATCCGCGCGATCGGTCACGGAGCATACGGGATCGTGATTGCAGCAAGTGATCGAGTGACCGGAAAATCTGTTGCGATAAAGAACGTACCGCGCACCTTTGACGATCTCGTCGATGCGAAGCGCATTGTGCGCGAAATCCGACTGATGAGGCATTTGCGCCATCCGCACGTTGTGTCGCTGTTGGACGTTATGCGTCCAGCATCGCTTCCTCGTTTCGAAGATACGTACATTGTCACCGACCTCATGGAGACTGACTTACATCGAGTCATCAACTCGTCCGAGACGCTGTCGAGCGATCACATCGCTTTCATCACTTATCAACTCTTGTGCGGGCTGCGATACGTTCATTCCGCGCACGTTGTTCATCGCGACGTCAAGCCGTCCAATGTACTTATCAATCGCGACTGCCTCGTGAAGCTGTGCGATTTCGGACTCGCACGCGGTATGGATCGGTGCCCAGTTGCACACACCAGCGAAGATGAGAGCAGCACGCCCAGCAGTCAAGACGCCGAGCCTGGACTTGATGTCGCGTTGACGGAATATGTGGTGACGCGTTGGTATCGAGCGCCTGAGGTGTTGCTCGCAAGCCGATACTCTACAGCCGTTGATCTTTGGGCTGTGGGTTGCATCCTCGCGGAGATGTTCACGCGCAAAGCGCTCTTCCCGGGCCATGATCACGTGCATCAATTGCAGTTGATCCTGCAGCTGGTAGGAAGTCCGCGATCCGACGAGATGGGCTTCATATCGAACATCAAAGCCAAGCGATGGATGGCGCGTCAACCGCAACAGGAGGGGAAGCCGCTCTGTTCGGTGTGTCCAAACGCTCCAGCTGAGGCTCTGGATCTCATGAAGAAGTTGCTGCGATTCAACCCTTGCAAGCGAATTTCAGTGGACGATGCTCTTGCACATCCGTTTCTGGCACCCTGTCGTGTGGACGGTGCCGAGTTGGGCTCTGAAAGTCTGGCCGAAAGCGCTTTTGACTCTTCGTTCGAGCGGGAGAATGGAGGCAACATGGACAAAAGTACGTTGCGTCGCCTGATCTTCGAGGACGTGTGTCACTTTCACCCCGAGGCCATTGCTGAGTTGAAGCAGTTTACAAAGGAGCAAGAGCAGTCGAGGCTCTTGGAGGAGGAAAAGCGCAGGGAGGAGGGCGACAGTCAGAGTAAGGTGACGGCGGGTAAACCAGGGCAGAGCTGGGCGGCTAGCGTGTAGGGAGAAGTGCGCTACGTTAAACATGCAGTAGAGTGTACAATTAGTGTCTGCTCTCTTGTGTTTGTTCCGAAGACTTGTGGTGAAAGGAGACATTGGACGTCGAAGGTCACGTCAAGATGCAATCAACACCTGTCTACACGTGGATCACAACGGACTGATCAAATAGCGACAGCAACAAACGCTGACAGTACGCGTCAATGGCATGAAGTCCAGTGCTCCTGCGTCCACGTCGACTCGATGACTGCCATTGGATTCTCTCACTGGTCATGTGTTGCCAACGTCTCTGCACGTGTACAAGCCAACAACCCAATTATTTCTTGTCGTGCATGTGAAAGCCACAACGACAACACAGTCTTTGCGACATCGCTAAGCTGCGAAACATCTACAGAAGACCTCCCACAAGCTTTCCATGCACAGCTCTTTGCGAGGAGTGAGTCAGTCTGTTGGATACAATTCAGTACTGGACAATAGATATTTGTGGATGTCTCTCAGGCCATTTTCCCTACCGGGTCGCATGGCAAGAAGCCCTGACGCAACTTGACAAGTTGACGGCAAGTTCCACATGGACTTTGTTTTCTCGTTGCCGCCAAAAGCAGTAAGCGATGGAGTGCGAGGGCAGCAACTGAGTGCAGTGCTGACCATCCAAATGGCGCTAACGGCGTCGCCATCCCATGCGACAGTTGTATCGTGAGGTCGACAATAAAACATTGCGTTGTGGCACTACTGCAACAGTGCATCCCAACGCCTCACCCTTCTACATGTGGAAAGCGCGGATGACCAGACCCAGCATGTTGGCTACGAGCAAGCAGCCCGTTGCGATACTCACCGTCGCAGTCGTATGCACGAAGCACTTGCAGCTGCCTTTTCACATGAACGTGGCGATGGCTGCAGTGGCAGGAGGTTGAAAATGGCTCGTGATCGTGTAGTCCCATAGCGCAGAGAGTGGACTGCGCTGCCCGCATGTGCCGGTCGACAAGAGTCAGCACGTCGCTTGAGTCTAGTGGCCCCGCCACGCTTGTCACGTGTGGCAACTGTCCATTTTGTGCGACACAACGTGCAACGCTCGAGTCATAACCTGTCGAGGACACCCACTCCCACGTACGCAGTAGTACTGAATAGCGAGCGAGCCACAAGAAGGGGGAGGCAGTAACCCGTCTCAAACTTGAACGAGTGCTCCCGACCCGTGGCGGCCACTGGTTTTCCCGCCATGCGACACGAGATTCGATTGACCATCTCGGATGTCCCCCAGCACTGCCCCACTGCAACTGCGACGACCGCCACAAGAACTGCTATGAGTAGGAGTGCCACATGGTCCGCTACATGGACATGTAGACAGACGCGAGAGAGGCAGTCCACGTTGTCGGCAAGTGACAGAGACGGGCCAGCAGATGCCTTTTTTTGCAAGCGCGTCGTCGCTTGACTCGTTTTCGGTATGGCTCGGCGCACGTGTAGAGTCTTCGACTGGACAGAGACAGGCGATCCAATGCGACAAAAAAGGACACGCCCCCGACCCACTTATGCAAAAGCAATGGCGCAGCGGGACACACTCTCGTGCAGTTGCAAAGCGCGCGCGGCCATTCACGCGCTCACTTCCCCAATTGTGTCTTTCGACAAAGAGCGCGCGCGAGACAAAGCGACTGACGACGAACCGCTCGACACGTTGAAGTTGCAGCTGTTCCACGGCCTCCGCCGGTAGTGCGTTTGCGCTCAACATTTCGGGCCCTTTCCATCCTCTCGGCACTGCCTTCGCTCGTGTCGGTCGTGGCACCACTGCTCTTGTCGCTCGTGTCGGTCGTGGCACCACTGCACTTGTCGCTCGTGTTGTCGATCGCGCGTGTGCGTGCGCTGCCGCCACCTGTCGTCTCAAAACAGCGCTTGACGCTAGCGCCGATTCTGCCACACCAGTCGGCACAAGTCGTCGCTTCGAACGACGTCAGTCCCCGTTATCCAGCAGTCTGTTGGGTCGCTCTCCCCCTCTTGTCCTCGTTCGCCCTCTCGCGCGCCGGCCGCTCCTCGCGCGAAAACAAACCGCAAAGCACATCGACTTCGACACTTTTACATTGCAAGCGCAGCAGTACATCCACTGGCGCAACGGACTTTCCAGGGAATAGCACTAAGCGTCGAGTCGCACATACACCGCCACAGCCACAGCCACCGCCACAGACCGACACGTGAGTCCACATGAGCGCCTTGTGCTGGGGAGACGCCGCACGCATTCAAAAGCTCAAACAGACGCTGAGCACCGACAGTGGCGCTGCTACTTCTGCTGCTGTTGCTGGCTGTGACCTGCAGAAGAAGGAGAGCGACACGTGCTCGAGAGGCCGCACGAGCTGTTCCAGCAGCAGCAGCCACGACGAGATGTGGGACGACGACGACGACGACGCGTCGACCATCGGCTCGAACTGCAGCAGCCGCAGCGACGACGGCAGCTCCGCGTCGTCCGTCTCGACGCCTGTGACCAGTCCCCTGTCGGGCTACACGCCGCACGAGCTGCTGGAGCCGCTGCCACCTGCATTGGGAGCGCTGTGGCCGGACAAGAAGCGCGCGCGCACGAACCCATCGAAGCAGTTGTCGTCGCTGCCCACAACAGCTCCCACAGCGGCCGCACCAAAGCACTTGCAGACGCTGCCGTTGGCACCGCTCGGGCCGCGTCGCGTCGTGCCGATCGTCGGGCCGCTGGAGCTTTTGCCGCCTTCAGAGTACGACGTGCGGAGCACGAACGGCCTCTTGAAGTGCGTCAATGCCCTTGCGCCGCTGCCGACGGTCGACCAGCTCGCGGTCAAGCACCTGGTGCTTCACGAGCTCCAGCGCACAGTGGACCTCTGGCTGCGCCGCACGCTCGACGAGCTGCCGGCCGCTACGTGGACTCGGACGACGACGACGACGACCGCGACGCTGCTGGTGGGCGGCAGTTGGCACTTGAAAGTGGGCGTCGCGGACTCGGACTTGGACGTGGTGGCGCTCCTGCCGCACGTCGTGACGGCCGACGTGTTCTTCCGTTCGCTCTGCGCCCACCTCGCGCGGAACGCGGCCGTGTCGCGGCTCGTGGCCCGACGCCACGCGGCAGTGCCCGTGCTGTCGTTCGAGCTCAGCGCCGTGCGCGTGGACCTGCTCTTCGCCCGGTTCGCGCCCGCGCAGCCCGTGCCGACGCACCTCTCGTGCCTCACGGCCGACGACGCGCAGCTCACGCGCGGCATGGACACGGCGTCCGTGCGGTCGCTGTCGGTCGCGCGCGTCGCGTCGCTCGTGCTCGAGCTCGTGCCGAACGCCAGCACGTTCCGCTCGTGCCTGCGCGTCGTGCGGCTCTGGGCCGCACGGCGCGGCCTCTACTCGAATAAGGCGGGCTTTCTCGGCGGCATCTCGTGGGCGCTGCTCGTGTGCTTTGTGTGCCAACTGTTCCCGCGCGCGAGCGTCGCAGCGCTCGTGCACCGCTTCTTTTCCGTGTTGGCGGCGTGGCAGTGGCCGACGCCCGTAATGGTCGCGCGGCCGTCGCGGGGCGACCACGTCGTCGAGTGGGACCCGCGCCGCAACTTGCGCGACCGCGCGCACCTCATGCCGATCGTCACGCCGGGCTGCCCGGCGGTCAACACGGCTGTGAACGTCAACGTGTCGACAATGCGCGTCCTGCGCGACGAGTTTGCGCGCGGCCGACGTATCATGGACGACCTGCGGCGCGCGGGGTCGAGTCACCCGCTGTCGTTCTCGCAGCTCTTTACGCGGACAGAAGTGCTCGTGCGGTACGACCACTACGTGGCGATTGAGCTGCGCGCGCCGAGCGAAGAAGCGCTGGCGGAATGGTCGAGTTTCGTGGCCAGTCGCACGCGCAAGTTGGTGGAGACGCTGCAGCACACGCCGTCGGTTGGGGCTCTGCATCCGCTGCCGGAGATGGTCCGCCCACAGCGTCTGGCGCCGGAAGAAGAAGAAGGGGGAGGCGAAGAAGGAGGAGGCGAAGCAGCAGCAGGTCAACCGGTCGTTGGCTACTACTTTATCGGATACACTGTGAACGCGCCGCCGATGCCGGGGGTGCGACTGGACCACCGCAGCTGCGGCGAGCGACAGCCGATGGTGCTACTTCCCGCTGGGTGTCGCAACGAAGAGTTTGCTCGCAGTTGCGTTGCCCCGGCGATGCGGTACTTCCTCGCCACGGAGCTCACGATTGCTGCCGAGAAGAAGTGCGGCATGGAGGTCGCGATCGCTTACGCGTCGTGGACCGACCTGCCCGATGCCATTTTCCCAGGCGGTCGACCCGCTGCCATTGGCGATCGGGCCCGGTATATCCTCAGCCAAGCGCACCAGACGAATCTCGATCTGGGCTTTGCTCGTTGAACGGACCGACTGACGGACGACGTGGACATATCCAAGCGGTTGGTGTGGGGTGTTGTGGGTCGTTGGGCGTCAATGGACCGAGCGAGCGCAAGCAGCGGATGTCTACGACACACACACACACACACAAAGCACGTGAGGAAGTCGTCGCTTGCGAGATATTTAAGAAACATAATGCGAATACAAAACTTGAACGACACTGGCAGCCGACTCGATCGATCATCGATCGGTGTACGCAGAACGAACGACGAAACGTCTCCATTCGTGCCTTACTCGACTGACTCACTGTGTGTAGCATGTCACTCGTCTGCTGGCTAATGCCATGTATACGACACTACTCGCCAAGCAATTGCGCTGCGTCTTCTGGGGGCAACAGCATCCATCACACCTCTTCGATTCCTCGCTTCCTCGACACGGTCGACAGGACGTTTTCTTTTGCAAAACTGCTGCTGTCTTCGTCAAAAGTCAGCTCGGGAAAGTCGGCAAAATCGTTCAAGTCGTCTACGTTCGTCTGCAACTCCTTACTCTCCTTCGTGACACCACCTGGCGAACTGGGAGGTCGCAAGTCGGGATCTGTCGGCCCACGGAGCTCAGACGTAGGAAGATACTGTTCCTCTTGCCCTCTCCTTGCCTCAAACACCGATGCCTGGTCAGTGTTTGGGCCTTCCTTTTGCATTGCCGTAGCTCCGATGCTTTCCGGTCTTACCGGTGCGTACTCGGAAACTGCACACACGCTGCCGGTTGTGCTGCTTCCGACTACCGGAGAGAATCCATCCATCATTTGTGTCGGGCTGTTGCTGCCATCTTCACCAAGTCTGCCCGAAAAACTGTCTGATTCGGTAGAATCTGAACACGTTTCACGCGACGATTGTCGTGACAAGTTCCGTATGCCCGAAAAAGTGTCAGGTGACCATCCAGATGCAGTATGCTCATAATCCGTTCTTTGCCCGGACATTCCCACCTCATCATCTCGAGAAGGCAACGTCCCTGAATCGCGCGTAGCAAAACTCGTTTCTGTTGCTGGTAATGAGCTCGAAGCTCTCGTGGGTTGCGATGTCGGAGGAGCAAATGAACACTGGACTTTCCGTACGATGGGCACCACTGTTATCTGGATGAAGCGCTCAATCGAGGTCAGCACGTCCAACTTTCGTGGCTGCACGTTCGTGGGTTGCTCGTGCAGGATATCGATCACCAAGCCAATATTGTTCATCACGGACTGGGCCTTCACACTGTAAAGCGTGTTGGGAGGTGCGCAGTTATTGGCCAACGCTCGCTTTGCAACGTGCAGCTGTTCGGCGTGTGCCCTCTTCAACGCTTGCACTTTGTCCCAGTACACTTGTGCATAATCTGCTTGATTTGCGCCGCCAACAGACGCTTGCCTACTGGCGGAACTGCCCCCATTGTGTTGCTGTGGCCAGAAGTACTGTGATCTCCGAGAGTTGTTCTGTTCCCGATATTGATGCAACTCAGCGTCCGCAGATACCTTGGGATCAAGATAGTTGCCTCCACCTGCGATAAGTGAGTTGTAGCTTTTTGCACTTCCACCAGCGTTCTGCTGTGCAAAAAGCTGGAGCTTAAGCTGTTTTGCTTGACGCTGCCACTGGGCCAACGCATTCCTTTGATTCCACAACAACTCAATGAGCACAGATTTGTCCAGATGCTGGATTTGAGCTGAAAATTCTTGAAAGGTAGCAACACGTTGCTGCGTGTGCGTCGAGTCGGATCGATGTATGTACTGTGGGTGCTTTCGGAAATCGTCAAGCTGCTGTTGTCCTTCCATACTGCCGCGGGATACAGCTTGTCTTGGCGAATTTTCGACGTTACTCTGGACCGGAAAGTTCTGACGAGATGGCGACATGACCATAGTGGACGGATAACATCGGTCTCTCTGTTGCCGGTGGCTCTGCGTGCTCATGCCTCGGTTGATTGCGTTCGTCTGTTGTTGTAGTTGTTTGTGCGCATCGTTAGGTCCACACGACTGCGTCTGGTCACTCATCATCGACTGGAACGAGTTTGCTGCACTCATCGACTGACGCGTTGCAGAAAATGTCGAAAACCTGTCGCTACTAGACTGGCTTGGCGCAGAGAATGCCGACGGACCGTCGCTGCTATTCGTGTCCCGAGATGGTGCCAGAGCGTACTCGTAACTGCGCGCCTGTGAGGATTGATTCGTCAAGTAATTACTTTGCATCCCCCTCGACACTGCCGACTGTTGAACCTGAGTCTCGTGGTGCGAATTGTCAAAGCGTTGACTCGCGCTTGAAAACAGGACAGCGTTGTTAGCTTGGGCCATTTCGACCTGCAAGAGTTTATGAATCTCTTGATCCATTGCCGCTACGTAGACATTCTAGTGCACAGCACAAGACCCGGTAAGTAATCGAAATTGAGGAGAAAAAGAGTCTGCAACTCATCTCACGACCCCAAATGTCGTCAAACACAAAACAGTACGTACCCGCGTCTTCGCCTTTTGGCACACCTGCACCTCAATATTCGTCGCAAGCTGCCGAATCCTCATATCTTCCTGCTCTGGATGCGTGTTCTGCAGCTGTCGGTAACTAGCAAGACACCAAAATCACAACAAGTGAGCCATGAGCAGCTCACACTCTCAGCCGAAACTCTTGCGACACAGCAACGTCCAACGCACATTCGCTGCAGATACGTTCGCCTCAGAAGCGTGTCCTGGGCAACCGGTTGCTGCTGCTGCTGCTCCTCTCGTAACATTGTCCTCTTTTCCTGCTCCTCCTCTTGACCGTTTGCTTCATCCACCTCTTCTTCTTCTTCTCCTTCTTCTTTCTCGTCTGCCTCCATCTCGTCCTCTTCTTCCTCCTCCTCCTCCTCTTCTTCTTCTTCTCCACCTGCGGACACCGACACGAAAGGACGCCACTGCGCTCGACACTCGTCTCTGTCTCCGTCTTTGTCCCTGTCTCTTGCCGCCTCCTCGTCCCCGTCTCTGTCCTCTGTGTGCATCGTGCGATGGGTCCGCGCGCTCGCACGTCGTCTCCGGCGCCGCAACTTCTTCTCGTCGGCCGTCCCGTCGCTCGTCTCGTGCTTCGCGTCCACTGCCATTGTCCCGTCCTTCTCCTTGTGCGTTGGTGCGCGCCTACGCGGTCTCGTCTTGCGGCTTCGGGTGCTACCGGTCGCCTTCCGCGCGTCAGGACACGACGCCATCTGCTGTCAATGGCCTTTTTCGATCGCCGCCGCTTACTGACGAGTGTGTGAATTGAATAGTGGCGGCTAAGTGCGGGACGAACAAGAACCGACCAATCACATGGCGGCGTTCGAGTGTCGAGCTCGCGGACGTGGGCTTGACGGCAGTTTGTTTTGTTTTGTTTTGTTCGATATTCGTCCGCTTGGCGGTTTCTTGACTGTTTCTTTTTGCTGTTTTGTACATTTTGGTTTGCATTGATTTAATCGCTCAAACATTTGTCAAGTGTCGGAAAAACGATCAAAAAACACTACTTTTCGTCCGAATAATTCCACGTACTGACATAAGTTCAATGTTGAACGCAGAGCGTGACGGACCATGACTTACAACGCAATGAGCTATCGACAAGCGATGCACAACTGGATCAATGTTCGTGAAGGAGCCCACCGTCTTCACACGAGAACTTCAGTGACTAATCTGAAGACGCACACGACAACTGCAACTGAAGCTGTGCGAGTCGCCGTCTCAATTCGTCTCGAACATGCACTCGATCGACGCGTTTGGCCTCTAATTTCGGCAGTGTCACCGTTGACGTTGTAATGTGGACATCCTTGCCGAACGTAAGCACAGATGTGTTTTCTTTCTGCTTTGCACTGAAAAACTGCCGGGCAACCACCACAATCGATCTCAGCGACGGCATCGCATCGACCACAAATGCCCGCAATTCGTTCTGGTAGTATTCCTGCTCTCGCTCTGCTTTGCTTGTTGCAAAAGAAGCCGTCGCAGAGCGTCCAGAAAAGTAACTCAGTCGGTCCACATAGTTCTGCACAATGTCGTCGAAACGTCGGCGCTGACCATCCGAACATGTGAGCAACTCCCACGCAACGTCGTCTTCCAAGAACAACTCTGCTTGACCAGAGCCATCGTCAATGATACATCGCACGGTCGTCCCCATGTACGTCCGAGCTCTCATCATTAGGTCAGATGGCGACATTTGCTTCCATCGCCACGCACAGTCGCCCGACGATTGCGACTCGACTTGCGGCTCTTCATGTTTCCAACGGCCCCGACGCTTGTCGAGCTGCATCACCTGGTGACACAATCGACATTTGCGCTTTAGCAACACGTAGCTTATGTGCATCACTCCAACCACGTAACGATACAACGTTTGGTCGATGGTTGAAGCGTAGTAGAGGTCATTAATAAACGTCGTTCTCAAAGAGCCGAAGAGTTCTGCACTGCATGGTACCGGCAAGCAGTCGCTTGTCGTAACTAGACGTCGAGCTGCTGTCGAGTGACTCCACTTCAGGAAAACCTTGTAGCTTGCCCGTGCGATAAATCCATGCAGTCTCGAGAGTTCCACGACGGCACCCTGTTGCAACGTGCCCAGCAAACCAAAGAGTGACGTATCTGCACGAACGTCAACAGTATCGAGATGGTGCAGATCGCGAATAGATAGGACGCACATCAACCGTCGACTCAAGTCTCTAGCAACGTTGCTGTCGCGTTTCCAAACACCCTCCACAGTACTAGGCACACCACTAGCAAGTGGCTGATGCTGGGCGCTAGACCGCCAGTAGTACTTCTTTGTCGTGATCATCCCTATCACAGATACAAGATGAGGCTTGTGCAGATTTGGGTCGAGTATCATCGCAACTGACTGCTCTCCAACGCTGAACGCACCGACGAACCGTTGCGGCGGACTTATCAGCGGTTGCTGAAGCAGGCTCGAGACTTGAACGACTTCTTCTGACTGCTCGAGAAAATATCGAAGAGCGCTCATTGCCATTATTTCAGAAGCGGTAGCTTCAATCGGTACTCGTCTTATCAGATGTCGAGCTTCAACTGTCCCTGCCACTTTCGTATAACATGCTCCGTCATTCGCACACGCTACCACAAGGCCGCTATCATCGATGTGGGCTTGTTGGCATATATCATGCAATTTGCACCGCGCCCACTCGAAGGTATGGCATTCTAGTCTCACTGGAACAATCGGATGAGAATCCGCTTGGTACACTCGAAAATGACGCCCTCCGTTCATGAGCGTGCCATTGCGTCGGCAATGAAGACGACTCAAAGAATCGAAGCAAAGGAGTTTGTCGTCTTCAGCTTCCGCAACTTTCTCCCAGTAGTCAATCGATACGTCCACTGCCGAGTCTTCGATACTGTAGTGAGATGGGACGCGCGGCCCGCCGCCGCTTTTGACGACTTCATGCGCCCGTACTCGATAGCAGCCTCCTTTCTGAATGTACCAGTGACTGCTTTGTGAGCTGACCAAGATATTAGCAGTGCACACTGACTTCATAAAGCGATCTGGTTGAAGACCGTCACCTACTGGACATGCGATGCCATGGAAAACTCGATACTCTGGCAAGGATCCTGCTGACCGAATACAGGATCGCGGTAAAGCGTCAACATGGCTTACCAAGAACACCACCTCCTGCGATTCCTGCGCGTCACGTGTAGCCTTTTCTTCAAGTGAAGTACTTACATGTTCGTCCTTACTCATTGAAACGAATACAACGTCGGCCACTGAGCACTGTAAGCACAAAACCACCGGAAGCTGGACTTCGTCGAACGGGTCGGCATAATCGACCATGATATCAAAATTACGAATCAAGTACATGCCACGACCGCCGACGAACTCTAGTCCCTTCTCGCTACAGTCTAATATCATGGAAATCGACGCCGTACGGTCATAAACTTCCAGGTCCCCGTTGTCAATACTTCCTCGAATACAAGCAAGAAGAAGGCACCAGTCAAGATCCTTGGCCGACATATGTACAGATCGACGTTCGCCAAACTTTTCGAAACCACCAGATCCCGCGTTAGTGATATGGTCCAAGTTGCTCTCGACAAAAGATTGAAGCTCGAGTATTGTAAATGCCTTCGTCCACGTCAACATCCTTTCACGGCGGGGCAAAGATAAGCTGATGCAATTGTCCGCGTTCGCAGCGTGACATTTGAGAAAGAAGGCACTGAGAGTCATCGCTGCTCGATTGCGGCCATCACCCCGCAAAAAGCCCATTTTCCTTGCCACTTGAGCAACCGCTTGTCGACGTCGAGTGTGTGGAAATGATAACGACGGAGACCGAAAATGCGCTTGCTTGACTTCTCCGAAGAAGAACTTCTTGTCCATTACCTCCAGAAGTTCTAGAAGCCACATGGACAGCACCGCCGATTGAGCGTGGACGTCACCCAGATACGACCATTTCTTGTTTGTTCTGTTTCGATGAGAGACGGTATCCGGTGTAATGCATGGACCACTCGGATCACCGAAAGTCACGACAGCAAAGTGACTTCTTGGGCACAAGCCGATCATCAATCGACCACCAGCCGGCGTGGGCCACCGGAGAACGTGAGCGCCGCAGACCCGAACGCGAGCACCTTTGCGGAGTCGAACCAGTTCTTGTTCGAGCGGAAAGTGAAAGAGCGAAACGACAACTCGTGTCCCGCTCAATCCTTCTAGTTCGATACACTCGTCCCATACCAAACGAACCACTTTGCCTTCGTAGTCCAGAAGCTTCCCGCTGCAGCGTAAAGCGTGATCCATCGAGCACGATTTGAGCGAATCGTCAATCCATTCTGACATGACGTCACAGGAGGAGGCTGGCGCTTCCCACAAATGCACGATAGTTTTCCCCGTCTGCTTCGAAACGTGGTCAGGCGGGTGTGCATGTGTGGCTTGAAGCAAGAACACTTCGCACTCTCGGGAATACACTTTCACCAAGTCCGTAAGTAACACGGTTTTTCCAGGGTGCAGGAACAAGTGCCAGCGCATACTATAGAGTCCAGTAAACATCACAATGACAGCACTTTGCGTCTCATTAGAGCTACGAGGGTGCTCCACCTCTACAAAAAAGTGGCTGCTTACACAATCTCTTTGCCGCGAAATCGAACTCACGCTTGTGATACGACCATACACTGCATGCACACGTTTCCGCTTTGCTGTTGCTGTTTCACCATCGCCATTCGTTGTATGTGCTGCATCACGGCCACATGTCTCATGTCGCCAACGCGCTGCAAGTGTTGCCCATCGTTCATTACCGGAATACATCGGTGGGTCGATTGTCTTGTAGCTCGCTCTAAGTAATCGTAGCACGTCCTCTTGTGTCCAATGCTCGTCCGTTTCATCCACCGGTAGTAACGGCGCCGGGCACTGGTCGTGTATCTCGAGAAACACTGAATCAGAGGTGGACACACCACCGAGAGCCTTCTCTACTAGCACCCAGTGTTTCACCAGCACCAACTGATCCACCAAGAACGGACGTGGGTCGAGAAGCAAACTTGGCAGCTTGTGTTTGCAGTCACATAGATGCAACACGTCGCAATTGTCGACTTGTTCTCCAAAATAGAGAAATCCTGTGACCCACACGCGACTCGACGTATACGTCACAGCGTCCCCTGCTTTTGTTTGCGACGCCACTCGATGCTGGTCCACACATCCAACAGTATGACGAACAATGCCATTTGGATTCAGAGTCTCTTGAGGATTCTCAGCGGCCAGCGACGTCTTGACGACATGCAGGAGCTTCCCAATGCTCCAGATCTGCAGACCTGCACAAGTAGAACCACTGCCGGGAGACTGCTCGGCTTCCCTGCAAGTCGTTACGGATGAACAAGTGGTGAGTGGGCATCGCAGCGTCTAGAGAAGTGTAACGAGGTGTAAGTGGAGGTACCACGTCCGCTGCTGCTGTCGTAGCTGCTGCTTTACGTGCTCGTTGTTTACTTGGCGCGGCATTGATATTGCCATTATTAGTTGATGTTATTCGAATAGATTATTGTTGTTACGATTGTTGCCGTTGCGACTATTGCGAATATGTAAACTATTGCTATTACTCGTAGTTGTGAGTTGATCGAATCAGCCTCTGGTGCAATATTGGTCGAACGGCTTGTCACAGATTGCACGACGAATTCGTCGCCCTTTGCTTCATCGTTGTTGTCATTATGTGGTTTACAAAATCAAGCAGACACGACCTGTTGCTAGTTAACCAGTGAGTGACAGGGAAATGGAGGTAGACGTGTGTATGATACCGAAGTATAATACGCTAACGCAGAAAGAGCTGCGACTGCGATTGCGAACCGTAGGGATCAAAAGGCTAAATAGACGAGCAACAAGCTGCATAGAAATCAGTGAAAGCGACTCGAGGTCCGTCGGGGTCAGCAACACTCACAAAGTCGTTGCCAGCAGTTTTGACCGAGCTGCGAGCGGAATTCCACCGAAGAGGTTGACGTTGAACACAAAGGGCTTTTGTGGCGGAGGAAAGTGCAGGAAGTACAGATCTTTCGCGTAAGCTTTTGCCGACAGCGAAAACACAATGACGTGTTGGCGGTGCTCGACATCAATCATTGCCCCATGTCTGAGAGCCTGCGTGGTTTGAATCTCATACGTTACCCCTGGCATCGATACACACGTCCTGTTCGGATCGTCGTTGTATTTGACAGTGCTTCCAATGTCGCACATAGCACGTTCTTCTTCGCCAGTCTCTTGCAAACGATCGCGCTTGTCGTCGTCGGAAACAGTATTGCGAGCGTACCAATGTCATTAGAACGGCTCCTCGATAGAAATGGTTCGCGTGCGTCCTGACATCCGTTGGCAAAGCAAAAACGGAGCTCGTTCCAGTGTTTGCCGCTTTACGATAGAGGAGAAAGCTCCAGAGTTGACCCTTCGGTATGAGAAGTGCCAGTTCAAGCACTAAACAAAGGACTGAAAATTTATCGTACCCATTCCAAGGGTTGAGTTTGGCGGCTAGCGATGTGTAGCGCGTCGTGAGGCGTGATGACTACATGGCTGTCGTGGCTGTTTGTTTTGTGATAACGCTTCACGTTGGTGTTACTAATGTGTCGTAGAGGGGATGAGAGGCAAGAGAGACGACGTCTGACCTTGTTCGTGCAACAACAACAGCGACAAAGTGCGACCGACGACATGGCATCGATCGGGAAGGAGGCGAAAGCTTTTGGATCGCGATTTGCCGCCGAGCGAGGAAGTCGAGCACCAAACTTTTGCTGCATCACGTTCTAAGTACTGTAAATACAGAAATCGCTCGGTACGTCTATGTTGCGTTGATAGTGCTACTCTCTCTGTTGTCTCGTGACGTGTTTCCGCCTGCTTGACAGACAGATAGGTACATACGAACATGGCTATCGAGGTGTTTGGCTTTTACCGCATGCACACTTACAAACAACTTTACCCTTTAAGTGCATGTGGGTCTTTCCTATGGCTACAAGCTTTTGTCCGCGGCCCGTTTGGGCGTGACAGCGGAAGCAGGAGAGCCACATGAAAGGTATGACAGCAATGATTGCGGATGTTATGCACGTCAGGATGCGGTCAGACACTACTGTCGGAGCGGAGTAGATTGATCCGGCCGATGGCAGATGGACACCCGTCGGTTTCTCAACCACGCACCTGTTGCGAGACAACGACAGTTCCGTCGAGTCACGTAATCATCCCGTGCGTTTCTGGATCTGGATGGCAAAACACACGACCAGCTTCATGACTTGTTGACGCGCAATAGCTTGTCAACTACAGTCTACGCATACGCCATCGTTCGGACAACGCTTTGACGAAGCACCTTCCAATTGAGAAAGAAGCCACGTTTATTGCCTCTATCTATGGATCCCAGAAAAAAGTTATTGACCGGATCCGTGTCTCATTCTGCACCTCCTTCACTTGCCCTCACGAAGCAGCCATCGCTGTTGTCGTTCTTGTTGGTGTTCTTGTTGACGTGTTGCGAGCGGGCAATCTTCTCTTGATTCTCGCAGTAGCGTTTGTACACGATGCCGCACGTCGTAAACACTTGCGTCGTGAGCAGAATGTTCCAGCGTTGACTCCACAAATACCCTCGAAGTGTCACCATTCCGTTTCCCGGAAGAAGAGATGTGGGAAATGAATGGCGTGAATAAAGCACAATTGTAGAGAAAAACATCCATTGTGCCATTATTGTTCGTATTGTGCCGTCTTCTTTTCACCGCATTTAAATGGATGACGACAATAATTGCGAGGACAGCCGCGTCCGTGGCTGGAATGCTGGCGGCAGCAGCGGAAAAGCGCGGGGCAAAGGACCGCAGTTTACGCGTGTGATCCCCAAGTTTCTCCAGAAGTACCACCAGGCGCCGGCGATCCAGGCCAAATTCGCGACACTGCCAAAGTTAAGCGACGAAGAAGAGGCAGAGCTGGACGACGTGCAGCAGGCGGCGATTGACGAGTATGTGGCTACAACAGAGAAGAAGAAGGAGAAGGGACGTCGTGGGGAGGACAAAGAGAAAGGATCAATGTGTACAGGGGACGTAGATGATGATAGAGATGGCAAGAAGAGGAGGAAAAGAGACTCGACGAGGGGACAGAGTATCGTGCAAATGGGCACAGCCAATACGTTGAAGAACGCCACGAAGAAGACGAAAACGAAGCGCATACAAAGTGACCGACCAGCGCTTTGCAACAACAAACTGCTCTCGTTCTCAATGGACGATGCATGAGATGGGCAGATTGCTTGGCGGACTTGAAGTGAGAGCGTAGTGTCGATAAATTCGATGCGTTCAGAGATCATAGCTGGGATGCAGTTTCGGAAGATCAGCTCTCGATAGACGTTGCTTGACTTACGATGGTCGGGCTGTTCGTCGTAGGTTGTCACCATCTGCACGCTCATGCCCCTTACTCCTCCGATGTACATCCGTTGACTTAGTCAACCTTTAGCAACAACATTCTGGTCTACTACACTTCACATACTCCTTTAGGGCCACTTGCAGTCTCGAAACAGTGTACACACCTTCATAGTTGCGCGTTCTAGCCACCTTGACATGACAAGTCCGCCAACTCTGTACCCTGGTCAACACACACTCAGCGAACTCCTTTTGAACAGGTTGTCATACATCTGAGCTGTATAGTAGCTAGCTGGTCAAGAGCAAGGATGTCGACCTGTCTTTCACGGCAGCAAAACGCTACTACGTACGCCTTCCAGCTCAGATTTAAGCATTTAAGCAATGTGCTTGACTTCGACACTCGAGTCGTTTCGACGTTTGCATTCGAGCTGAGGCTTGACCCACTCTGGAGCTTTGCCGAAAGCATATACGGAACCGTTGACGACGATCGCCCCAATCGCGAACTGAGCCGTCGGCGTTTTGTCAAAGACGAAGATTGACATGATGACGGAGAGCACTACAGCGATGGACGTAGCAAATGCTTTGAGAATGTTGTCAGCGTATTTCACGACTACAGCCGTAAGCAAGCCACCGAAAGCAGAGAGAGCGATGGCTGCCCATACCACGGGACGATAGCCATAGAAAAACCCGCGAGTCACGATCGACTCCAGATCATTGTACATGAGACCGCTGCCAGCTAGTGTCAATCCGAGAAAACACAACTGCACGTTGCGTTCCCATAAAGTGGTCGTGGACCCAACGCCTTTCAGAATCTTTTCAAAGTACACGCCAGCAAAGCCCGAGCAGACACAGGCCGCCACCACCGCCAGCAGCCCCTTCGTCGTACTCGATACTGTTCGATCGGTTTTCAGGGTGCCAGCAGCTGGTTCCCCGTCCAGCTGCACGAGTGCGACGCCTATCATGAGCATCACAATGGCCACCCACTGCATCATCAGCACTCTTCTCCGCAAGATGATGACGGAAAAAATGGTCGTGGTGAGGATCTTGAGCTGATACAGGACTTGGAAAGTGGGTGCGTCCAGGTTCGATACGGCCACGTACTGCAAATTGTTTTGGACGACGTAGAGCATCGCCGGCACACTCACGCGCAGCAGCTCACCTGCGTTGGTGATGGCACGAAAGGAAGCGCCCATGCGTTTCCGCCGCTGCAGCTGGTCAAGTGCACTGAATTCCTGCAAGAACAGAGACGTCAATCAACCATGTCAAAACCTTCATGATTGCACCAACGCGTCAGATGCACATTGTGCTTACAACACTTCCTAATTTGGGCTCTTCGAGGGAGAGACCCATACAGACATCTTAGCGCAGTCATAACGACCGAATCGACAGTCTGATCCTCGTCACATTGTGCATACAACGATACGCACATAACTACAAAGATATACAATGATACACGATACATTTATAGACACGCGTACATACAAAGACACATACAACGACACAAAGATCGATCATACAGACATACATACGTACATACAGAGATACCGGCCGGACGCCATACGTACATAGCTGAGCACGGCAACGCACGTGAGTAGCTTCAGAGCCTCCCCAATGAACACGGCCGTGGCGGCATTAAAGCGCGGATGGTCGCCCACTCTCGAAAGTCGCATCAAGATGGCCAATAAACTGTTCTGGACGCACAAGATGCACAGACTCGCAAGTTTCAGCGTCGACGGAGAGACTGTCATGCGTCGCTCGTCAATTACTTTGGGACTTTTGTCTCGCCGAACGCGCTGTGTCGAACGCTCAGTGCGTGCGTCAGATTGATGTGCACCACCGCAAATGAACAATCGTCGCGCGATGTGCTCTCGACAACTAACGTTCGTAGTTGCGTTCTGTTTCTGTGGACCACACTGTGCCGTACCCCATCGTGTGGCCGGAAAAAGGCCACTCCATTCCCACCGGCGCGTCTTGTCGAGACGCCAATGGACATCCGCTCGTTCTTTCGACACAAAGCGCCGAGCAACAGCACCAGCAGCAGCACGAGAGAGCGCGAGAGCCAAAGCAGTAGCAGTGGCACGAAGCACAGGGCGGAAGTAGCGAAACGTACGTAGTTGCGGACGCTCTTTTCTTCTCTCGGTGTCGGCTCTTTGTTGTTTCTGTACCCACGTGGCGGTTAGCTCACGTCGCTCGATTCGTTTGTATTGCGTTTGGCAGATGCAACAAAAGAAGCGGAGCCAGAGCCGACACCGCCAGTACGTCGGTCGACTCGTAACACTGTGAAACACAATGTGGTTGTGCTGGCCGAGAGCGACGAAGACGAAGACAGTGACGACGTTGACCGCATATGTGGTCGTGTAGTCACGAAGCAGCAGCAGCAGAATCAGGAGAAGAAGTTGGAGAGGGAGAAGAAGAAGAAGAAGGAGACAGTGACGAAACAGAAGACGAGAAAGACGAGGGCAATTGACTCTGACTCGGAGACGAACTCGAGTGACGATACGATGCTGGACGTCGAGCGCGATAGCAAAGTGCTGACATCGAAGCGACTGCGTCGTGGAGATGCTACCGCTGAAAAGACGCCACAAGTGAGGCTGAAAGTAGCGGTGGATAAAAAGACGACGGGTAGCCGACACGTTGCCGCTTCGACCTCTAGTCGCGCACCTGCTACCGATGAGCTGGACGAAGCGATTGTGACGCAAACATGTGGTTTGGAACACGTGCCAAACCCTTGCTCGGGCAGTCTGGATGGAAAGACGTTTGCCTTCTCGGGCGTGCTAGAAAACTTGTCGCGCGAGGCTGCGGTGCATCTTGTAAAGAGCTGTGGTGGGTCTGTTGTGAACAGCGTGACACGCAATACGATGTATCTCGTGATTGGCGCTACGCTGGAACAAGGTGGGCGGGTACTGGAGGGAGCCAAGTATAAGGAAGCAGTAGCGAAGAACGTGCGCGTTTTGACCCAGAACGAGTTCTACAATCTCATTGCAGAGGCATCGGCCGCTCAACAGGCGCAGGATTTGGCAGCGGATAAGGCGAAATTGAAGTCAAAAACTGCCACCGCGTCTTCGAAGTGCAAGATCAAATCGGATGCGTACGTTGTGGCGCGTGGCACTCAGTGCTGTAATGTGTACAAAAGGTCTCACAAAATTGCTTCTGTTCGTGTCGTATGATAGGTCGATCAATCAAGAGCTATGGACTGACAAGTACAAGCCTCAAACGCTGGACCACATGATTGGCAATACTGAGCTAGGCAAGAAGTTGAAGACGTGGCTGTTGGACTGGGAAGCGATGCACGTGAAGGGAACGAAGAAAGTACCGTTTTCGGCAAAGCTGGCCGAGAATCGTGGAGCAAAGACTGTGCTTTTGTCGGGTCCTCCCGGTATCGGTAAGACTACGATTGCGAATCTAGTTGCTCGCGAGTGTGGATTCGAATGCACCGAGCTGAACGCGAGCGACACCCGTAGCAAGAAGATGCTCCAAACTGGTCTCAAAGACGTGTTGGGCACCCAAGCACTCCAATTTGGTATGGCCACGGGTAAAAGCAGGCAGCAAAACATGCACTTGGCGCGTCGTGTCGTCATCATGGATGAAGTGGACGGCATGTCTGGCGGTGATCGCGGCGGTACGGCCGAACTTATCCAGCTGATAAAGAAATCGAAGACTCCGATTATATGCATTTGCAACGACCGCCAGAGCCAGAAAGTGCGATCTTTGGCAAACCATTCATTTGATTTGCGTATGCGTCGTCCGACCAAGATACAAATTGGTAAGCGACTGATGGAAATTGGTTTGAACGAAGGTTTGCACATGGAGAAGAACGCGATTGAAGAAGCTGCCGATCGATGCGGCAATGACATTCGGCAGTTGCTGACGCAGATGCAGCGATGGCGACTCACTACCACTAGTATAACGTACGCAGACTTGGTGAATCCGTCCTCTCAGCATAACAAGGACGAGAGTTTGCGACTGAACCCATTTAGCGCAACACAACAGATATTCCGGCGTGATGTGTCTTTCGAAGCAAGAAATGAGGCTTATTTCGTCGATTATGACTTAATGCCGCTGATGGTTCAGGAGAATTATATTCAGAGTATCATGAATAACCGGACGTCGTCGGACGAGAATTTGGAAGCTGCGATGTACGCATCGGAGTTCATCTCAGAAAGTGATCTACTGAACACGTACGTTCGGGTGGACCAGCGCTGGGACTTGCTGACGAAACAGGCGGCGATGAACGTCGGGGCTTGTGTATACTCGGCTGGATTCATCGGCCACCCCGAGTTTTCCAAGTACGTATTGCATTGGCAGGACGTATGGCGGACTTGCTGTCGTTGACAACTTCCTTTGTGTTCGTGCAGATGGTTGGGAAAGAACTCCACAGCTTCCAAGTCAAAGCGATTGTTGAGTGAGCTGTCAGTCCGAATGAGATCACATGCTTCCGGATCCCAAGAAGGTTTGTGCTGTGCTTGTGTGATAAGTATGCGTTCACCGTTAATGATTCACATCGGATTTCTGTTGTATATGCAGTCATCCGTCTCGACTACGTGCCGTACATGAAAGAGATACTTCTACACAGGCTGTTATCAGGGGATGATGTACGTTTGGCTACCTTGACGCTGTACAGGATTTGGAATTTGTGGGAGCTCACGCGTGTACAATGATGTCAACTGCTTGTTTAGAACTTCCACGAGGTGGTTGAACTGCTAGATGAGTGTGAGATCACACGCGAAGACCTTACAGAGTCAATGGAAAGTTTCAAGTTTCCTGGTGTGAAGCGCCACTCGTACTCGGACCTTGACTCGAAAGCAAAGACGGCGTTTACGCGAATGTATGCGCAAGGCTTCTTACTGCTGCCTGTGTGGTTTGTATCTCGCATGCGAACTGACGCACTGATCTATCGTTCCATTGCCGTTGTGGACAAATAGGTACAACAAGTCTTTCCACAAGTCCCAAGCAATAGTGGAGTCGGTTCTTGGTTCAAGTACCGTCAAGAAGGGACGAGGGCAGGCTAGTGCCGTGAAGGACGAGGAGAACGGTCTGCCTGTGCCGTCAGACGCTGAAAGTGAGCCGGACGACGAAGTGGATATTAGCAAATTCCAAAAGAAAGCGCGTAGCAGTGCGAAGCGCAAGACTGCTGCTGCTACAGAAAAGAAGGCGGCACGGAAGGCGCCAGCAAAGAAGCGCCGCTCCTAGTTTGACAGATGCTGCGCTGTGTTTGAACGTGCAAGTCTAGCAGTGATTGATGATACGTGTCGATACATTTGCTGACTGGCTGATGGGGTGATTGCCCACGATTTTCTGTCATCTACGGTGCAGGATCAAAGTCAGTGCGATACCAAGTGGGCAACTTTGTCGCGATAAGGACGCATGAAGACGACGCATTTGCTGAAGCTGCTTGGAGGATCGCACTCGTGTTTTCCACTGTCCGCATGTGATGAATCATAAGCAGTCCAGTCTGAAGAGCGACTCGTGAACGCGCTGGGTTGTCGGAGGACAGATCGAGTCAGATGCATGACGTCTGGGGACCGGAAGTCAAATTCGATCAACGTGCAGGCTGCAAAGTGGGATGCTCTGCCGCTGGCGCACCGAGAGCACAAATGTGAGAAGACGGGAAGCTAGCAGTTCTGGACGTTCATACTGCAGGCTCAGTATGTATGGCAGATCCAAGCTGTTCATGGGTATTGTATGTGAGGCCGCTTGATGTTATCGCAACTTTGCGGTCCCAGCACTTGGCTCGTACGTTCGTTTATGTAGTGCTGACACTCGCGGGCTAGCAGGCAACATGATGGCCCAATTTGCTTGCGAGCAAGGTCCGTCGATCCCGTAGCCGCACTATCGGAAACTGTTGTATCGACATCAAAGGTTTGTGTGCAACGAAATAGTTAGTGAATGCAGGAAGCAGATTGTTGATCTGGAAATAGATCGAGGACGCGATGGCTTTCATCATAAGCATCAATTTGTTCTCGGCTGACGTTGCAACCATTCGATGTCGTTGCTCAACATCAACAGACTGGATGTACCGAAGAAGCACCCGACCTGCTTTGTAACATCTTATCAAAGAACGCTCCGAGCCCCAGTTGTGCATCAGTCCTTCTATCCCTTGTCCACTCTGATACGGTAGTAGCCATTTACTTGGACTGTGCTAAGTTTGTCATGAATCAAGAGAGATGATGTTAGCGTTGCTCCTCACGCACAGAACACCGTTGAAGTCACTGCTCGAGCGATAGAAGCGAACCCTTTGGCTTGCGTCTGTTGCGGCTTCTTCCCGACTCACTCAAGTATTGTTGTATCGCTATCCCAGTGGCTCGAGATGAGGTGTGGCCGTCGCCCGATCAAGCAAGCGCCACTCAGATGCAACGACTACTACAAACTGCCCAACGTGTCTCCGTTGCACGCAGGCATGCAAGTGGAGGCTGACAATCGAAAAGGGAGTTATGACAAACAGGATGTCAGCCGGCTTTTCTGTAAACCTGTCGGCTCTTGCAAGCAGGTTGACCTCAAGGCGATGTGGCCGATGGTTTATGGTACTGCGTCCTCATTCTTGCGCAGCCCAGTCATCACCCATCCATCATCGGCTGAGTCAGAATGGTGTTTCTCGTGCAGGTGAGAATGCTGTGTTGGCTTTGCTAAGCTCATCGATCATCGATCACGAATTCGGCTGCGTGCAGCACAGAAGGAGGTACCGATTGCGAATACGCTCATGTACATGTTGATGGTATCCGAAGCCCTCGCTTTTGTAGGGCTCGACCACTTCTCGAAAGCCACTGCATGACTACGTTCACGATGTACCTCATACATTTGCCGACGCTACGAACGCTCGATTGAGGTCGGGTTGACCTTCGACGTCTCGCCACATCAAGCCAAGTGTCGTAACACGATGGAGCCCCTTTTGCAGAAAACTGAGACGCAAAGAGGACGTGTCTGCCCTCTCCAGCCAGCAGCAGATGGACCAAGAAGTAAGTGTCGTTGAGGTCGGAGGTGCAGCAAGAGGCACGTTGTACGTGTTTCTGGACGACATTGCTCATGTTTTGCACCTACATCCTCGACGACCTCTTTGCACCAATATACCACTTGCAACGTCCCAAAGTGCTCGTTTGACCCACAGATGAAAGTTGACGAATTCACGAACATGGCGTCGATGATTCCCCATAGGGGTCTCGCCCAATTGTGCTGCTCGCGGGGTTTCTATTCGAAAACGACCAGATGTGGTCCACGTCCAACGTGCGCCACGCACATCACAGTGGGCCGTAGCTCCCCGTCCCGTTCCATCCGTCAGCCACGTGCGACAAGTCAGTCGATCAAGTCACGAGGCGACGCGACATGCCAACCGCCGAGTTCGACGTCGTGTGGCGCCACGACGCACTGGGGCTGCGCTTTACGCCCAATGAGAACGACCTGCCCGTCGTCTGCCAAGTGCCCCCGACCGCCTGTGCGGCTGTCCTGGCGTCCCCTCTGGCAGTAGGCGACGTGCTCGTGGCCTTTGACCTGCAACTCGCTGCGGCCTCTGGCGAAGCGATGCAGACAGTGCGAGCGTTCGACCAACTGGGAACTGTGTTGAGTCGCGCCGCACTGCCAGTGACGCTGCGCTTTCGGTCGAGGGAGAAGGAGACGCCCGTGCGAGTCGACGAGTGCGACGTTGCACACAGTTACGACTTTACGTGGAACGCGCACACGTCGCTGGGCGTGTCGCTGGCAATGGACCCGTGCTCGCTCTATGCGGTCATCACAATGATTGATCCTGCAAAGATCTCATCAGCGCTCCAGGCGCTACGGCCCGTGCTGGGCGACGTGCTCGTTGCGATCTCACCTCACGCTGGTGACGGCCTCGCTACGCGTCTCGACGAGATGCGCTTTGAGGACATTATCCGGACATTGCGTCAGTTCCCGCGGCCGTGTCGGCTCAGCTTTGCGCGACTTGTCGAGGAGACTTTGTCGGATGGGACGGACGAAGACCGGAAGCCGCTCGAACGGCTGAAAGCAGCTCCTGGTTCTAGCGAAAGCAATGGCCAGTACCCCGGAAGGAGCACGTCGAGGCCGCCGTTTCTCAAGCGATCCGTGCAGCGGCCTTTGCCTAGCTTGAAGGACGGTGTACGTCCTGCGCGGAAGCTGGTTCCCATGTCGAATCGACAGAGCTTTCGCATTGACAAGCCGGTGCCATCTATGCTTTCATCGGGCGTCAGTCGACCGCACGCCGGGTCCACTTCTTTGGACGAGGGTCGACCGCATCGTGGATCGACTGCAGATGATGACAAGGGGTTCTACACGGTCATGTTCAGCGGTGGCGCGGTGGGTCTGCAACTGCGCGACTGCTCGGAAGACGACAAGCACCTTGCGAAGGGCAACGACAAGACCAACCGAACGAACGGCTATGCAGTGGCGATCCGGAGCGTGACGGACGTCAAGTCTGCACATGGATTGGAACTGGCGACGGCCGACGATCTGCTGATGGCGATCGGCTCGAAGGATCTGCAGCACATGTCGTTTGAAGATGTGCGCAAGGAACTCGGCAGGATCCAAACGCCTACGCGATTGCTGTTCAAGAAACGCAAACGCGTTGTGGGCAACTCGGTGGCATCTTCGCTGGTCGACACGCTGCTGCTCTTCCTCATGTAAAGAGCCAGCAGTGCTGTGGGCGAACAAGCGATCGTCGCAATTCGTATCCTTACACCTGTGTGGAACGGGCGACTTGCACTGTCAAAACAATATGTAAATTCGTGCCGAGTGGCAGTTTCTCGTCCGCGACATTGATGCCACGCAATTGTATACATGCACACAACCAATTGCAGCTGATCGTCCGTCAAAAGTGACAATACGTGCACTCGCGTGCAGTGCCCGACCGTTCCACCTATTATCACCCAGTCGCGGCCTTATTTTCGGTCTCTTTATCTCGCAAAATAACCAAAACATCCGCCCACCGCCGAGATCAACTGAAAACAAAACAAAAAACCCCCGCCAAGCGTCGAGATAAAATCCGCTTTTCTCCACCGGCGCTGCTGATAATAGCACGACGACCTACATGCCCGAGCCCTCCGAGGCGGCCCCCATGCCCCGCAACGAAGAGAGCGTCGCGCTGCGCTCGTCGGGCCCCAGCGACAGCGCCACCACTGCACTGCCGTCTCCTTCTCGCGCGCGTCTGCTCGCAAGCGCCGGCGTGGGCAGCGGCCCCAGCGCCCCAATCGAAGCGCACGCCGTGCGGCTCAATGTGCTCAACAGCAGTGTCCAGGAAGCCCGCGAGGCGCGGAACTCGCGGCTGATCATGGGCGCAATCTCATTGGTCAATATCCCTCAGATCCTCGCGGCCAGCGTCATTCTCGCGTCTTCTTGGCAGAAAGAGACGCTGTGTTTTCGCATCCAAGTGTGGGTCCTGCTCCATACGGTGCACCTCACGCTCACGCTACTGCTCGAGTGGACGCTCTATTATTTAAACTCGGCCCGCAGTAATCGGGCAATTCGGCTGCGCGAAGAGCACATGACGTCGCTGAGTCAGCTCAAGTACGGACTGGACCTGGCGGGCCTCTTTTGGTTCCTCGTGGGCAACATGTGGGTCATTAGCGACGGCGCGCGCTGCGACGACGGGTCGACAATGTACCAACTGGCGCTGTGGATGATCATCATCTCGTACGCAAAGATCTTTCTGCCGTGTTTGCTGCTGCTGGCGCTGCTGCCGATCCTGTGCTTTTGTCTCCCGTGTGTCATTCGACTGCTCAATCGACTGCAGGACCCGATGAGAGGCAAAGGAGCGACGAAAGAGGCGAGAGCTCTTGTCTTGTGTTGCTGCTGCGTTGTGATGTAGCATTGTGTTGGGTTTGCTAACGCGATGTGCTGATAATGTGGTGTGGCATATCGATGATCTGCAGCTGATTGACCAGATTGAGACCAAGACGTTTGCGCCCAACATGTTCCCGCTCGAAGACGCATGCTGCTGTATTTGTCTGAACAACTACGAAGCCTCGCAGCTTCTGCGCGTGCTACCGTGCGGACACCATTTTCACAAAGAGTGTGTCGACGAGTGGTTGCTGGTGAACTCGACGTGCCCGACCTGCCGAAAATCCATATTTGACGCCGAAGCAGGCGATGCTGTCGCCACAAGCGAGGGAGACATGCTGCGGCGTGTGTGATGGCAATGACGTTCAACATAATATCACTTAATTGGTGTCGATCGCTGTACCTCTGTAGATGCGGGCTGTGTCAAAGAATCGTGTGTTGATACGTCCGAGTTCATCTGGACAAAGTTTCTGCCTGCATCCAATCGCGTATCGAAGCAGAATAGCATTTCGTTGCATGAGTCGTTGCACGCATGCGTATCAACCGTTGCAACCAAGTAGACGCATCATCGACAGACATGCATAGACACGCACTCGCTATACTTCCAAAGACGCCATAAAGCTCAAGTTTCGAATCGAAAGAAACGTCACCGTCTGTTGATCACCAATTTCGATACAATATGGGCAAAGCATTTGTGGACCACGACCGTGTGTTTCTTGCACAAAGAAGTCTCGTGCGACCACTCAACACGTAGATCTTGACAAATCCGATGCAATAATATGTTGCTAGAAAAGTGCGGATAGCAGTAGCGGTAAGAAAGCAGCGAGCGTAGTTGCACGATAACCATGGGGTAAGCACACTAACACTTTCGTACAACAAGTTGCCAAGATGATTCCGAGATGGTTGAAGTAGAGTTTACACGGGTCAGCCGGCAAAAACTCTCACCTGGCAGTAAGCTTCATGGCTGTGGGGAATCAGTCGACCCTCGTTTGAAACGAGGTAGGCCCGTTACATGATTTGCGTTTTTCCAGTATGGGTCGGTGATAACCCATTACTGACATGCCGCGACATAGCAATGGTCTATGTTCCATGCTCTGACAATAGCTCTGATTCTTACAAAACATGGCAATCTGCCAAGTGAAGAAGCAGCAAACGAAGGGCAACATCGATAAGGCTGCCGCAACTGAAAATGTGTGTTGGATTATCGTGGCCGTTCGAGCTTAGATTGACGATAGTTTCCTGCCACCTAGGCCTCACCGTTCTGTTTGGTCCTGCAGCTTGCTCTGCTGTACAGCCAACTTGAGGTCTCGATGTGTCGCAACTCGACCGCTTCTAGCGCAAACAAGTCAACCGACATATTGACGATCGAAAGTGGCGTTGCGGAGCCCCGCAAGACGTTGCATAGGACCGCGAGTATTACCAGTGCCTCACTGAATCACGCAGAGCAGAGTGTACCGATAGACGGTGAAAACATGCGTGATAACGTTACTCTTCAGTCAGTTCGTAGATTTTCAGGTTTCATGACTGTAATTCAGTCACCAAGCCCCTAAAAACTACCAACAGCGGAGAGTCGACTTTCATACCAGCCGAAATTCTGCGTGTATACAGTAAAAGAACAGGCGCCTCGCCACCCGATAACGAATCAAAATTGAAGTAGTAGTCGTAAAGCATAAACAAGCTGATCACGGACAAGGAGCATATCCGCGCGGTTTAGGTGCATAAACCCGTTCATTGCCCATCCGGATATGGGCAGCCACTTCCAACGTTTTCATCAGATCTGCCGGCACCGACGATGCCATATGAGCGATTGGACGTTCAGCAACACCAACTGGAGACAGGGGATCCACAGCTCAAGCCCACAATCAAGCACCAGTTAGATTCAACCACAACGTGACATTGCATACTGCTTCATTCGCGACATCCCCCCGCACTTGCGACCCCAGTAGGTGCACCAAAGCTCAAGGATGACAGGGTACATAAATGTGATGAAGAAGCAGCAGTCAAGCCTTGAAATAGACTTGAAAAAATGCTAATTCGATGCGGAGATCACGAGGCTTATGACTTATGCTATGTTGATGTGGAATGGCAACCACCGGCTTTATGCGATGGTCATTTGTCATCGTGGCACAGCTCCAGATGTCGAAGTACCTTGTAGATCATGGATTGTCTTCGAACTACACTAGTTCGTGCAGGTCGATAATTTCAGTTGGTTGAGCTGTAAGCTGAGTGGTGTCAGCCAAGCGGGCTTCTTTCAACACCGAAGAGGATGAATATGATGTAGACCTCTCACATCGAGTACATGCGATCTGTAACGTGGTGAGCCTGTTTACATGTCATTGGCACGAATTGTGCCAACGTAAACGTTTTCTTTTTCGGTAATGTTTAGCAATATTATGCTTGCGAGTCCATTTTGCTGGAATGTTACCGTACGAGGTAATATTCGGCATTGCTAAACAATTGGTTGGAATAGGCCATGATGTCAATCGAATAAACCACCAATCGCGCGCAATGGGTGATGAGTGAGATTTTGCATTGATAGCTTGTAGCCTAATGTTGCGTGGGAAAGTAAAAGTACGGTTTATGGAAAAGGGGCTTCGCTATATTTTGTATTATATATTGTTTTACTTTTATCCCTCAAAGCAACCTTTTCTCAGATGCTTCACTTCCCCTGCACGCACAGTGTACATGTAGCCTAAGGAGCGCATACCTTGTACTCTTACGGTACAAGGGAATTCCTGAAATCTGGTAAGAAGTGAGCCCCATTGCATGGACAGCATCAGGGAAATGGAGACATCGCCAACCTTAGAAATGCGATGCTCTCTGAGGTTGCATGGTCGGCCTAGGCATGTAAAGATCAAGACAACCTACCTAGAAGACGACAAACTCGCAAATCTGACACAAAAATAGTAGGAGCACTTACACCATGTCACGAAGAAGAAAATTGAGCAGCCTTATGCCGTTATAGTGCAATGAAGGAAGAGGTTTGTTGCTGTCATTGGCTTGACATAGAGACGAAAGTAAAACCACAAGAATATTGCGGCAACACACCCTCGTTGCATGCAGTCGACCATGTCTCCAATAATGGAGAGGTACCTTTGATGATATTCACGCCTATATATTTATATTTGATACCGAATTGATTGCAAGTTTACGATGTCAATATGATGTGCGGGGTGACGTCGTTATGGAGTGACGACGAAATTGGTATTAAGAAGATGATCATTAGATGCTCCAAGCGCGACACCAGCGAACCCATAAGACGGATAAATCACTATTGAGCGGAAGGGTGGAAAGGCTCCACCGATCTTTGGACGACAACATGCGAGCAATACAGTTCGATCCTGCCAAATCTCAACGGTGTCTATGATCGAAGGCACGATAGATTACCTTGATAATAGATTCAGTCTACCTCTCTTACGAGCGGCGATATAAGATGAATGTTGACGTTGCTACCGTACGAGAGTCCGATCTAAGCTGTGTGCTTTCGTATGAGCAGAAAGTCAATGTGATATTAGAGAATAATGCCGTCAGTACCAAAGGAAAGCACGAGCACGATATCTACGTTGGGTCGATGAATTGTCAAAATGCTATCTAGTATATATTTAAGCTTATGCTAGATCAGATTACCCTACGCGAATACTGACACAGTGTAATCTAACTAAACTTAAACCGTGCTGATAGGCTACTCGTATCTTTACGTCTATGTGCTTGTAAAGGTGGGTCTAATCTTCTACACAGGCACGTTTACGAGAGGGCAAAACAAAACTGCATTTTAGTGTAAAATTGCCTCATAAAATCTCATTTTATCTTGTTTAAACTAATTAAACTGCAAAAACTCGAAAAAAGAAGCTACTCGCGCATCATTGGTTGCGCTTTAGCAGCGATTGGTCGTTACATTGGCTGGGTCTATCTCCTACATCAGCTATTAAGTGTGCGGTGTTTGCGGTCATCTGCGAAGGGCGTCTTCCTTTTATACTTACTTCGCAAGGCAAATTTTGGAAAAACTTGTATTATTTTAGACTTCGTTCACACTTTTCATTTTTTTGCCAACAATACAGAACACGCTAACCCTCTAACATATGGAGAATTATGAAATTTTGCATCATGTGATTCAATGAATTATGTGGGTTCAGCCACACGACCAATCTCTGTATACGGCATTCATATATACCGAGCACCGGTCCATGTGAAAGTTTTGTGGCCAAAGCAGGGTTCGGAAGACCGATTTATATGCAACGGGTGCTATCTGAGATGACGCATCAATTTGCAGTAATTGGGGGGAGGCCAATCATATTGGAGTGACCGTCTAGTGAGGTCTCCAGCCAGGTTGGTATCGTTTAAAAAAATCCGTGATTTCGTGACGGCACTGCAATCGTAACGGAAAGAACGGAAGAGCACGCCTTATCAAATTCCACGTAATCCAACATCTTGTTGTAGTGAACATTGTGAGAAACCAAGGTTGACACAGCTATGTCATTGGCTATAGATATTCATATCGGCAAACATGATCAATTAAGTATTCTCAGGGAATATGGGTTATGATTCAGGAGAGCACAATAGATCTGTGTCGAAAGACTTGTAGGCTAAAATACTATTTTTCTTCGCCTGTAGGAGTCCATGCACAAAACTAATATCATCAGCGGAGTTGTTTGTACTATTTTCATAGCCGTTGACCATGCTCGCAGCTCATATGATACAGGTTAAGTGCGTCAAAAAGTGAATCTGACAATGATGGTTCTAGATCCTCCCGAATCATTAAAGTCAGACTTTCACAGTCAAAGAATAGAACAATGATATATACAGATCCTTCCGGGCTGATAACTATCTCAAGATCCAAATTGGAAGAATAAAATCCTGCGCGTACTTTCATTCAGCATCGAGAGAAGCAGGTGTGCAAACCGTCGGAAGGTAGTGTCGACAAATCTAAACAATATGTCATATTTATGATCTTACTCTCTTTCTCCGAGATGATATGTATAGATCCAGAAGCGTGATGGAACACGTCGAAATGATTCCAAGCCTAGCAAGGAAGGAATTCGGTCAGAAGGGCTGTTTATATAGAAGTCGGAGCAGATAGATCCAGAAAGCCTGCACATCGATGCAAGGACAAAATGGCACAGCTCACACAAAGTGGCCAAGACTGCTGGTAGTGTTTTGTACGAGCCAGCGGAAATTTAAACACGCCTATTACCGTCTCACAATCAGGTCTGTGATGTCGAAAATATCCATATTTAATATTTGTCATGCCCTGGCCTACCTTAACAAATGTGCTGATACATTAATAAAGGCATAGTGGATGAGTCTACTTTCTTTGCTCTATAGGACAGCCCCAGACGACATGGACGCCGGAAAA